GACTTGAACCTGCCCCATATGGGATTCTGGCGATTCAGGCGGCAGTTTTACCCACTGCACCACAGCGCCGGCCCCTCCTAGGAGCTTTAATAGAGGTTGTGGGATCCTGGAGGAGATTTTGGAATTCGGCTTTAAAGAATTCCACTGGCCATTGTTATTCAGCAACCACAATCACACGCTTGAAAGCCTGAACCAGCGTTTACAGTCAGATGGCTGGGACGTCCTGGCTGGTGCTCAGAGACCAACACAGACCTGTGGATTCTCTGTCCCTCAGTCATCCACCATCATCACTGGCAAGTAACAGTCCAGGAAGACTCGGATTTGAGAAACACGACCAGGATGAAGTCATAGGCCCCAAATTAAATGTCCTGTTTAGAGCATGTGAAATCTCACACTTGCCAAAATGAGGAAAGAATGTGTGGTCAAATATCATGATCCAACAAACCATCTCACTCACATGTGGTGAGTGGTTTTGTGCCTTTAAGCTTCACCAAGTGGTGGTTTATTGCTATCTGGGACACGTGTTGCTTTTACTAGCTCAGTGTCCATTTCTCCTCCTGTTAACCAACATCCGTTCCTTCTGCTCCGGGTATGTGTCTCAGTGGCACTGTCACTCCAGTTTCCTCGCAGTCCATGGTCAAGGGGTAATCACAGCCAGGCCAGGCGGATTCTCTTCCCTCCGAGTCTGTCTTGCATGAAAGGCTACAATGCAGGGTTTCAGCATGGATTCCTGCTGATGGCCCGTAGGGACCGTCCACTGGCTCCCTCGCCTACATGTGCTCTGAGTCAGCTCTTCAGCTTTTACGTCGATTACAACCAAACAACCTTGACACTGGAGCTTGATTCAGCTCTGACAGTTCCTCTGCTTGGAGTAGCCTTTATTTCTATCTTTGTGTTACCTTTATGTTTCCAAATACTGTTCCCTTAAAGACAAGGGTTTTCTAGGTATGTGAGCTGTTCCTGATAGATCTCTGTTTAAGCAGTCACAAAATGACTGGATGCATGAACCCTATTTTTCAGTGGATTAAGATAGGCAGCAGATAGGGATGCGTGAGATTAGCTTTCCCTTGAAAAGAAAACATGCTGCAAGCAATTAGCTCGTTTTGGGAATTCACTTCAGCACTGGCCCGGCTCCCCAGGCTGCTCCCAGCCAATGACGGAGTTCTGTGAAGATGAGAAAGCGGAGTTGTTCCCTTCCAACACAGGATTACTCTCGCGGGCAATTGGCTTCGGGCTCCCCAGTGACTGGCCAACACGTCCTCAGAGCTGCACTCAGACTGAGGCTCTGTCCAGTCCTTCCTTCCTCATTTCCTGTTTGTCAGAGGCGCACTCTCCCCCCAGCCCCCACTCCCACTTTTTAAGATTTTACCTATTTTATTTGAAAGGCAGAGAGGTCTTCCATCTGCTGGTTCACTCCCCAAATGGCTGCAATGACCAGAGCCGGACCAATCCAAAGCTAGGAGCCAGGAGCTTCTTCGGGAGTCTCCCACCCAGGTGAAGAGGCCCAAGGTCCTGGGCCATTCTCTGCTGCTTTCCTAGGCCATAACAGAGAGCTGGCTCGAATTGGAGCAGCCAGGACTCGAACCGGCGCCCATATGGGATGCCCGCTGGCACTGCAGGCGGTGGCTCTACCCACTACACCACAGCCCCGGTCCCTCCTCCCTTTATTCTTTATACAAGGTGTTTCCTCAAAGAAGTTCCTTGCATTTCTACTTGCATCTCAATGGCAGTTTCTGGAGAACCCATTCTGTGACAGTGATTAACCTTGGTTTTCTCTTGTAAAACTGGAACCTCACTGTCTACATCATAGACTTAATGTGCAAATTAAATACCCCCCCCACCCCCCAGTAAAGGTCTTAGCACAGGTTCTTTTTAATAACATGCTTTTATTGATGTATACACACATAAAGAAAATGCATACATCAGGAGTACACGTCTTCCATCACAATGCACAAAGGAATAGAACATCTCCAGTACCTCAAAAGCATCCCCATACCTATATCCCCCATCTCAATCATTCTTCCCTCACTGCTCCTCAGATAACCATTTCCCTGACACCATCCATTTGTCTACTCTTGAACTTCATATAAATGAAACTATACAACACATAGCGCATGTCTGGAGTCTTAGATGGGACACCATTATGTTTTGGATTGAAACCCCTGTTGTGGTGGGTACTTTGTCCTCTCTGATGAAGCACGGAGTTGTGACTTACCACAGTTTTTTTTTCCTAGTCTTTATGGGTGTTCAGATTGTTTCCAGACTTTGGCACCTGTGAAAGCCAATGAACAGTTTTGTGTACTTGACTTTTGGGAACATGTCTTTTGGCTGTAGACCTGGCATCAGAATTTGAGAAATCAAGAAAGTGTATGTTCAGTTTGTTTTTCAATGTGACTGTACAGTTGCCGCTCCTACCAACAGTGTAAGCATTCTGGTTGCTTTATAGCTTCATCCCTTCATACTCTTCATTTTAGCTATTCTGGTGGATTGTATTACACTGTGGTTTTTTGTATTTTTTTTTTAAATCTGTTATTTCTCTGGTATCTAATGAAATTGACATCTTCTCCAGTGTTAACTGCCCTCTTGAATGTTGTTTAAATAGCTTTATCAAAGCATATCTTGCATACTGTAGTCATTTACATTATCAATGATTTTTTTAGTAAGCTTGAGTTGTGCAACTACTGTCACAATCTAATTTTATAACATTTCCATCATCTCAAAAAGAAATCTCATGCCTATTTGAGGTCACTCCCCATTCTCAACCTCTGCCCCATGCAAATCACTAATATACTTTTTCTATACAGAATATATTTTTTCTATCCTGGATATCTCATGTAAATGGAGTCATTACAGTATGTGACCTTTTGTTACTGGTTTCTTTCACTTAGTATGTTTTTGAGGTGCAGCCATTGTAGCACATACTTTGTTCCTTTTTATTGCTGAACAGTATTCTATCGTGTGCCTATACCACATTTTCCTTATCCATTTACCTGTTCACGGACACTTGGGTTGCTTCCACTTTTTGGCTGTTATGAATGCTGCTGCTAAGGACATCTGAATACAAGTTTTATGTGGACATGTTTTCTCTTAGGTAGGGTAAATTAATCGGTCAGATGTTTAACATTTTAAGAATCCCGTGACCTGCTTTCCAAAGTGGATGCACCATATCCCAGTAGCAATGTAGGAGTGCCCCAGTTTAACCAGTATTTTTTTCTTCTATCTTAGCCATTTTGGTGGGTGTGTAATGGTACTGTATCATGGTTTTATTTTGCAGTGGTGCTGTTTTGTCTTTGATAACCAATTAAGTCAAATCCATTTTAACAGACTTACTATCTCAACGTTACCTTTTGTGGAGTCTCTGCTCAAAAGGATTTGCCCATTTTTGTTGGGCTGTCTGCCTTTCTAAGTTCTTTGTATCTTCTATTATGTCTTTTGCGGGTATACATGATGTGTTTCTTTTCCTAGTCTTTGGTTTGCTTGTCTTTTCATGCTTATAAAGTTGTCTTAGATGAGTATTTAAAAAAAAATTTTTTTTTAAATTTTTTGACAGGCAGAGTGGACAGTGAGAGAGAGACAAAGGTCTTCCTTTGCCATTGGTTCACCCTCCAATGGCCGCTGCGGCTGGCACGCTGTGACCAGCGCACCGCACTGATCTGAAGCCAGGAGCCAGGTGCTTCTCCTGGTCTCCCATGGGGTGCAGGGCCCAAGCACTTGGGTCATCCTCCACTGCACTCCCTGGCCATAGCAGAGAGCTGGCCTGGAAGAGGGGCAACCGGGACAGAATCCGGCGCCCTGACCGGGACTAGAACCCGGTGTGCTGGCGCCGCAGGCGGAGGATTAGCCTATTGGGCTGTGGCGCCAGCCAAGGATCTTAATTTTAATAAAGTCCATCCTACCAACTACTTCTAGTCAACATTCTAAGAAATCTTTGTGCATCTCAAGTTCATAAAGATATATTCTATTTAAAATTAAAACTATCATTTGAGACAGAGAGCGCGCCCATCTTCTGGCTCATCGTCCAAATGCTTACAACAGCCATGGCTCGATCAGGTTGAGGCCAGCACCCTGGACTCGATCTAAGTCCCCCACGTGGGTGCCAGGGACGCAACTAAAGTAATCACTTGCTGTCTTCCAAGGTCTGCGTTAACAGGAAGCTAAAACTGGGAGTGGATCTGGGACTCAAACCCAGGCACTCAGCATGGAACAAAGGCATTCCAACCTGCATTGTACCACCAGGCCAAACGTCCACCCAATGTTTTCTTTCTAAAGTGTTATAGCTTTATAGTTAAGATTATTTACAATCCATCTGCTATTTATTTTTGGGTAAAGCATGAGGTAACAGTCAAGACTCATGGGACTTTCCATTACTGTTTTCAGGTGGAATCAAGTTCCCATGGCTTTTCCCGCCTCTCCACCTCTGTATCAGTTTCCTCACTCTTATTTTCTGGGCTAAGACAAGCTGTCTTACCCCTGCTGTTGTCTCGGGATTTCTTTTAGGAGGAACCTCTCACACTGCTGGATGTCTAAATCTTAAGATCCTGAGATGCAGCAGATATTCCGTTAATCGTTTAGAGAAAGTATCTCCAGGGTTTCCAACAGGCTTTGATTTATTCTCTATGCCTGATGCAGTGTGAAACTGCATGACCATCACCTGGGCTGCTTTTATTTCTCTTTGCAAATGGCTCCAACAGCCATTTGTGTTAAATGCCATTTTCCACATGCTACATCTTTATTTTGCTTGGCTTGTGCCCTTTTATGAAGCACATTCTCAGGCAGAAAAGGAACATGGGGGCTAAATTTCAGGCTGGAAATTTCTTTCAGAAATTGAAGACACTGCTTCTGCTGATATTTGAAGCAATTCTCATTAGTATATGACTTGCGCTTCTCTCTGAAAAGCTGACTCCAGTATCCTCTTTTAGTAGGGCTTTTGCACTGTGCTCATTCAATATAGAATCTGGTGTTCTTCAGTACTGGAAAAATATCCTGAAATACTTAATGCCTTGTTTTTTTTTTTTTTAAGGTTTATTTATTTGAAAGTCAGAGCCCAGAAAAAAACAATGAAGTGCTTCCATCTGCTGTTTCACTCCCCAGCTGGTCCCAACTGCCAGGGCTGAGCCAGGTTTAGCCAGGAGCTTCATCTGGGTTTCCCACTTGGGTGCTGAGACCCCAAAACTTAGGTCATCTTCCATTGCTTTTCTCCAGACATTAGCAAGGAGCTGAATCAGAAGTGGGCAGCTTGGACTTGAAGGGGCGCCCATTTGGGATGCCAGCACTGCAGGTGGCAGCTTCACCTACTGTGCTACAACGCCAGTCCCAGCCAGCCCCGACATGTGGTTTTTTTTTTTTTTGGCTACTCTGGGAAATTAGTTATTGGACCTCCTGGGCTGTTTTCTTCACTGATTTTCCTCAATATTTTCATTCATTTCTTCACATATTTCACTTATTCTCTTTATGTTCTGAGAAATTTCCTCAACTTTACATTCTAAGCCTTCTTGTTGAATTATTATTTTCCAAGAGTTGCTTTTGTTTTCAGAAAGCTCTTTGTGAGGTATTCTGCTCCTAATTCATGTTTGTAATATCTTTCTGAAGATATCTCTTTCTTGTGAAATTTCCTGTCTTCCTTTATTTTCTCGTTTTCAAGTAGAGATTTTCCTCAGGTTTCTTGTAACTCTTGGTTGTTCGCGCATTTTGTAACAGCACAGGACTGAAAGACTGACGGGAAACTCTGGCAGTGTGGGGTGGTGTGCATGCTAAGATGTCCACTGTGGAAATTTCCACTGTGGCATCTACCTGGGCAGCCAGGATGCCTCTGACGTCAAGATCTTGTTGAGGTCTTTTCATTGGCACTGGCCAGGTTTCACGAAGACTCTTCAGTGTTCCGCTGGGATGCCTGTCAGGATTCAGTGAGAGGAGGAGGATGCTGGTTTCTGTATCCACCATGTAAATGATCTCTGGTTCTGAGAAGGGCCCCTGCCATCTGTCTGATCCTTCTGTCCAATCTATTAACACACCCCAAGTAGTCACATTTTCGTATCATGTGTACATTAAAGAACAAATGCTTTATTTTTTGTTGGTATAACATTTTATTGTTTGCATATTGCATAGTGAAAAGAACAGAGTCAGAAGACTCATGGTCTGGCTCAACCACTAACTTGCTGTGTGAGGTGGGTAAGTCTCTCAACTTGCTAAATCCTCATTTCCTCAGCTGAAAAATGGAGATAATACTTAATTGACAGAACTGCTAAAGATCAAGTGAGACAGTCATACTGTTTTTCTCTCAAGTAACTGGTCAGAAAAATTCTATTATTTGCTATTGCTAACCCTTGTTCATCTCAGTGCTGTTCTCCATAAATGCATTAAGATAACAAGAAGAATTTAACATTTTAACTTTGAATACTAACAATAGCAAAAGAAAAAAAACCCTCAAAAATGGCTGCTTCCTTATCTTTAGAATACTGGTTTTACAATAATTGTTTATACTATCCCATCAGGAATTCAGTTTTATTTAAATATTCTTTTTTAAATCTACTCAAAATGAATACCTAAGTATGTGAAAACCCCCAGATTACATGTGTACTTGCTTTGTTTCCCCTCTGGCATAGTAAAAGTAAAATACATACCATGGGTAGTTAAATACTTCTCCCCCTTCATTAGGGATGATAATATATATGAAGCTTAATTTCTTATGCATTATCCCTAACATAAAAAAATCACAGGTAGATTATATGCTTGTCAGGAATCCATACACGTGGTAGTCACACCAAGACATATATATCCCTTCCAAGTATATTTCCTCATCACTGTCTTCTATATGATGCCACACAACTATCTGTAGTTGAAAAAACAAAACTCCATTTTAAGGCAATTCTGCATGAAATTGTATTACAAAATATTTTTGTTAAATGAATTTGCATATATGTGTTGAACCCCAAAACACACACCTTAAGCCCTCCAAGTACTACCCTTAAAAAGTAAACAAAATTTTATACATCATAAAAAAACTTTAAGCTGCTCTGCAACCTTCCTTTGCTAAAAGTTAGATACATTACACCACTCCAGCAAGAGATTAATAAATAAAGATTAAATATTCTATTTTACAAAAACATACAGAATGGCCGATGTAAAAGTAAAAGGCTTGTTTGATAAATTCTTTATAAAATTATGTTAAGAAGGAATAAGACATGGTATAAAATGATAAAATGTCACTAAACTTATCCCTCCGAAGATAATCACATGAGTTATCTAAAAATTCCATGGCACCCTTGTTACAAACATTATTTTTTAAAAAACAACTGTGTTTCCTGGAACTTGAGGACTATTTGTCTCGTAGCTTTTATTAAGCAAACTTGATAAAACCACCACACAGTGGCAAGAGATAAGACTAGCTGTTTCCAGCTACAGAAAATACTGAATTCTACCCTAAAATACAGATAATTTGAAATATAACCCACGACAGTTAAAGCAAATCATAGTGAAGTTAGCACTGAATTTCCTTAAAATGTCTTTTGCTTTCAATGGATTATATTCTTTTTCCTGTCATTTGAGATTCGTTTCTGTTGCTTAGTAACTGTTTTCGTGTCCAGCTAAGATGTAGAGATTGCTGTGTGCAGTAGGATTTTCTGTTGGCCTACTTTCCAAAACGACAACCCTGCAATGAAACCAAAACAAAAAACTTTTTAAAAAATAAAAACAAATTTCATGCTTCAAATATTAACCCCAAACCAGAAAGAATAGCACTGATCATATCATAAAAATACATAAAAACCATATATTCATAATCAAATTCAGTTTATATTTTATAGCTTAAAACACAAATGAATAAGAATTGATGAATATTAAATACTGTAAACATCACAGGATAGTCTCATTATATTATTCCAACTAAAAATAAGTATTCTTACATATGCGAACCAAAGGTATAATACTGCTTTAGGCATTTACACTAATAGGAAGAAGATGGAAGAAGGGATGAGAATAAAACAGGACTCTAAGAGACAATTATCTAAAGTGTTCTTCAATTTAACTCTTTTACAAAGCTTGAATTTAACTTTTTACAAAAGGTATGAAATGAGGCCCTCTCCCTGTTCCTGGAACAAAAAAGGCAGGGAAAGAGTCAATCAAAGGACTAACAGGAAGACAGAAAATCAGGTACCAAACTAGGACATTTCATCTGTGGGGTAGAGGCATTTGAGAATAAACAAACAAACATATATATCTCTATACAGATGCACACACACACGCGCGCGCGCAGAGAAAAAAAAATTAGAGGGAGGAATGGGAAGAGAACTAGTATACATACTTCATATTTTTCTTTTTTAAAAAGCTTTTTTTAAAAAAATTATTTAAAAGGCAAAGAGACAGGAGAAAAGAGGGGATGGGAGAGAGAGAGAGAAAGAAGTCTTCCACTCACTGGTTCACTCCCCAAATGACTACAACAGCCAAGTCTTGGCCAGGCCAAAGTTAGGAGACAGGAACTCCTTCCAGGACTCCCACAAGGGTGGCAGGGGCCCAAGAATTTAGGCCATCATCTACTGCCTTCTCAGGCACATTACAGGGAGCAGGATTGGAAGTGGAGTGGCCAGGACTCAAACTGGCACTGTGATACATGGGAAGCTGGTGTCACAAATGGTGGCTTGGCTCGGTATGCCAGAATGCAAGCCCCGACTTCCTGTTTTTCTAGTGTATGAATTCTCTACAACTAGCATGTTACTACTTTTTAAATGAAAACAAAGCAGCAGGGGCCAGTGCCATGGCACAGTAGGTTAATCTTCCACCTGCGGCACCGGCATCCCATATGGGCGCCAGTTCTAGTCCCGGTTGCTCCTCTTCCAATCCAGCTCTCTGCTGTGGCCTGGGAAAGCAGTTGAAGATGGTCCAAGCGCTTGGGCCCCTGCACCCGCATGGGAGACCAGGAAGAAGCACCTGGCTCCTGGCTTCAGATTGGCGCAGCTCGGACTGTTGCAGCCATTTGGGGAGTGAACCAGTGGACAGAAGACCTTTCTCTCTGTCTCTCCCTTTCACTGTCTGTAACTCTTCCTCTCAAGTAAATAAATACAATCTTTTTTTAAAAAAAGTAACGTATACTTTATATGATTTATGTGTATTACAGAAGACTAGAAAGAGAAAACAGAATTACTCATAATTTCCCAGAGTTAACTACTAATATTTTGAGATACTTAAGTTTTCTTTTTCAACAAAGTATCTGTTTAGACAACAAAACAACATTTTTGCCACTTTTAAAATTGACACAAACACTTTGGTTAAGATATACAACTTAAAATTAAGGAGATGCCCAAGTAAGAAACTAAGTGAAACAAGGCAATGGTATGAAGAAAGTAGCTTTTTAGTGCACACAGTGGAAGAGAGTAGTGAGCCACTGTAGACAAGGGGGGAACTGATGAAGGAGAAATCTCTGGGGGAAGTCAGGGGAGTATGCAAGTCCCTGAAAGGCCTTTGATACCAACACAGTTGCCCGCCCTCCCTCCCTCCTTTTTTCTCCCTGGGGACCAATTTCTAGGTTGCTAAGATTTGTGGGCTTCACCTTTTCTAATAATTTCTAAAGGAGCCACCATTTTTCAGAAAGTACTTTTCTCCTTTGAAAATTCCTCAGTTTTTCAGGAGTCCTAATCCACTGGCTCTTACCTCCACCTCAAGGGGCCAGTATTTAAGCAGTGGCTGTGTGTGAGGAAGACTAGAGGCCCTTAGTCCATGTCTCAGAGAGAATGCATACTACTATAGCCAATTCTGTTGCAGTGACCACACTTGGTGGAAAAACAGGAAGGAATGGGTATTTTATTAGTTACGGAGGATGACAATGTAGACCTTGGAAAATAGCAGCTACCAAAGTTTTTTCCTGAGAAGGCACGGTTTTGTTCTAATTTACATTAACCTCAGCAACTGACTTGAACATTTTCTGATATAAAAGCAAATATCAAGAGATATGTATGTTTCACTGTCAACACAAGGCAACACGTGAGGAAGAAACCATGAAAACAAAGGGATCTGAAATATCCGTCGAAAACAAAGGGATCTGAAATATCCGTCATGGCATTAGGGAAATAAATACTTGTATCAACACATTTTGTCTTGGCTGAGTATAAATGTCTTTCCAATCATGATACTCACACTGACAAAAGGTTGTTTAACTGATTAATTAAAACATACGCTCTCAATAAAGATACAGAACAATTTCTCTAAGTCGGTGAGTCCCCTAAGAGTTTTGTTTGAGACACAATTACAAGCTGACAATATAGTTAAGAGCACAATCTCTGAATTCCTTTTGTCATTACTGCCATATTACCTGTCTGATCCCAATAAACGGAACACTCGTGTTTCATCTGAAATCTCCTGGGTAACCTATGAAAGAAAATACTTGTCAGTAACATTTTAGTCCCCATATTGCTTATGGGATAATTTTAAAAATCATTTAGATGTATTAGAATGAATAATTTTTGATAGACTCAATTTCTCAAATGAAATAAATGTCAATAAGGGATTTGTAGACTGCCTATTAGTAGAAATGACCAATGTTTGTGGATCCCCTAGTATGGGTTATGCACTTTCCTTGGAAGAACTCCGTGACAGGAACCATAATCCTCATCTAACACTCACAGAGGCTGAGTAACTCGTCAGGACCAGCATCTGCATACAGGTTGCTGGACCGCAGAGCTCCTGCTCTTTCCTTGACCTCCTGGTGCAGATGCTGGAGGTGGGTCTTGCGGCCTGTCAGGTTTCAGCATCACTGAGCTGGACACGCCCAAGCACCAACATCTCACCCAGTGTATATTGTGGAGTTCCTCTGCTCTGTTTTTTCTAAGCTGCAGAAGGTACTTGGCTAAGTGCTCAAGCACTATCCTGAAGGTGGGTGGTCCGCACCCCGGAAGGCCCCTCAACCATCATGGACAGCCACTGGTGCACAAGTGCTCCCGTCCCCACCCCACCTCTGCAGTGCATTCTTCTTCACTCCTTGGTGGCCTCTCCTGGAATAAGCCTTGCTTGTCCCTAGTGGGAACCAGCTTATGAATGTGTTCTATATGGACTTTCTGTTCTCCATTCTCCATTCCTCATCCAATCATTTGTTTTCTAGAATCTACTCTCAAATAAAATACCTGCACTTGAGTCCTTGTCTCAGCGTCAGTTTTTGAAGGAACCCAAAATAGCACATTATGGATATAAAATAAATATAAAAGTAATATGTTAAAAAGGAATTAACAGTCTAGCTGGGAAGACAGATTTAATAAACTTGAATCAGAAAATAAGATGAGATATAATGACATGCAATGGAGCTGATTTTTCAAGTGTTAGGTTCAGAGATGAGATGTGGACTGCAGTGGCTGACTATGGAAGAGGATAAGACTTCAGCTAGGTCAACTTGAAGGACGAACACAAAGGTGAGTTAGAAACAGGAAAAAGAATTTATGGTGAGAAAAAGGTAACTTCTGTAGATTTCCATTTAACATTTTATTAATTATTTAGACAAGGCCACAGTCAAAGTGGAAGTTCTCTCCTCCCTACAGAGATCTTTCATTTAGGTCTTTTGTTTTGTTTTTGGCCACAGTGTCTTGGCTTTCCATGCCTGAAATACTCTCATGGGCTTTTTAGCCAGATCTGAATGCCTTAAGGGCTGATTCTGAGGCCAGAGTGCTGTTTAGGACATCTGCCATTCTATGAGTCTGCTGTGTATCCCGCTTCCTATGTTGGATTGTTTTCTCCTTTTTAATTCTTTTTTTTTTTTTCCTTTTTAATTCTACCAATTAGTATATGGCCTTGTCTAAATAAGATCAGAGTTGGTGAACTCAAGAGGCTTCCATTTTGGCAGCTCATGACAAGAGCCTCGGGTGATTACTGACGTCATAAATAAGAGTGTCAATTGTTAAATCAACAACAGCAGTCACTGCACTTACTCCCCATATAGGATCTCTGTCCTTAATGTGTTGTACTATGTGAATTAACGGTATAACTAGTGCTCAAACAGTACTTTATACTTTGTGATTCTGTGTGGGTGCAAACTGTTGAAATCTTTACTTAGTACATACTAAATTGATGTTCTGTATATAAAGATAATTGAAAATGAATCTTGATGAAAAATGGATGTGAGTGGGAGATGGGATGGTTGAGAGTGGGAGCGAGGTTATGCTATAATCCAAAAGCTGTACTTTGGAAATTTATATTTATTAAATAAAAGTTAAAATTTTTTTTATTAATTAATTAAATTTGAGAAACAGAAATCTCCCATCTGCTATTTACAACAGCTGGAGCTGGACCAAGTTAGAGCTGGACCAAATTAAAGCCAGGATCTCAATCCCAAACACTTGAGCCATCATCTGCTTTGGAGGGTACATGTTAGTGGAAGCTGGAATTGGGAGTGGAGGTGGGACTTGAACCCAGGCACTGCAATATGGAATGTGGGTGTACCAAGCTATGACTTAACTGCTGTGCCAAACATTCAACCCTTCTTAATTTTTTTTAGATTTATGGTTTCTTTTTTCTTAAAAGAGCTATTTTTATTTATTTGAGAGGCAGAGTTAGAGAGAGAGGGAGAGACAGAGAGAAGAGTCTTCCATCCACTGGTTTACTCCCCAAATGGCTGCAATGGCTACAGCTGGGCTGATCTGAAGCCAGGAGCCAGGAGCCTCCTCCAGGTCTCCCACACGGGTGCAGGGGCCCAAGCACTTGGGCCATCCTCCACTGCTTTCCCAGGCCATTAGAGGGGGCTGGATCAGAAATGAAGCAGCAGGGATGCTGGTACTGCAGGCAGAGGCTTAACCTAATACCCAACACTGCCAACCCTTACATTTATGGTCTCTAACCTTAGGAATGACACAGTGAAAATGGCACTCAAGAGCAAGTAACCATATGACAGTGAGCAGGACTGCATGTTTCATCAAATACAGGTGCCTGGTGACATTCAGCCACTTGAGTCACTAACTGGATACACTGACACAGGTATTTACACAAATGGGAGAGGTCTCTGTTAGATCAGGATTTATCTCTCACAGTGGGAACCTGAATCCTATCTCCTGCATGTAGTGTATCCTGATCATCTGAGGTACAGATTTGCAGGGCTTTGCTATTTAAGTAGTTACGTGACTCTGGGTAAATGACTTAATAACCACTTTCTATGTGTGAAAATGAGAATATGACCAGCACCTAGCTCCAGTGGATTGCTGTGAGCCTTAAATGAGCTAACCATTGTAAAGTGCCTGGAAAAAACCAGGTATGATCTAAGGGTTTGATACTACTTACAACAGTGTCTTGAATGTAGTTCGTTCTTAGTGTTTACTAAACAAGTTAATTCTCTTAGATTTTCTTTGGTCCTGTGTGCCCACAAACATTAACTTATAATTTTAAATATAATCCTAAAAAGCTACATATATACAGATTATAAAAAAAATTTAGACAAGTAAAGCAAGCTTAGCAACCACATATACAAATTAAAATTAGAACAAAATTGTGGAAACATATTTTGTGATTTCTTGTGGCCATGGAGAATTTAAAAATATAGAAGTGAATACATTTGAAGGGAAAATACTGGCTCTTCTGCTCTACTGGTTCACAGCACTAAAGGCACTAAGCATAGTAAAGCAGGTAAAGAAAGGAAATGTGTAAAACAAATGTTTCAACATTTATAATCTTTAGTGGGGTTCAGTGGAGGTAATCTGAGAACCTTACCTCATCTGACTTGAAGCTTTTACCCTGCATCCCATGCTTCCAGAAAGCCAACACGCTGTCTTGAAGGCACACTGAAAAAGACAAGGGAGAACTGAAACTAAAACAAAGCACAGAACACTTCACTATGAATTTCCCTTAAATGCTTTTAATAAATGCTAACGTGAGGCTATTCAAGTTCTTAGTGCAAAATTCCACTGTCTGGACCATTATTTCTCAACATTTTTGTGGCTTAGACATGCCTGAGCCCAAGTAATTTCTTGAGGCATGGTTATGCAAGTTTTGAAAGAGATATATATAATAGGGATTCATTTCTGATAAGCTGGGTATCAGCATATCAACTGCCTTTCTTCATGCTGTGTCTTTTGTCTTAAGTGAATAAATAATAAAAACATATGTAGTGGGGGCCAGTGCTGTGGTGTAGCTGGTAGAGCCGCCACCTGCAGTGCCAGCATCCCATGTGGGCGCCGGTTCAAGTCCTGGCCGCTCTACTTCCAATCCAGCGCTCCGCTATGGGCTGGGAAAGCAGTAGAAAGTGGCTCAAGTCCTTATGCCCCTGCACCCACATGGGAGACTCAGAAGAAGCTCCTGGCTCTGGATGGGTGCAGCTCTGGCCGTTGTGGCCAACTGGGAAGCGAACCAGAGGATGGAAGACTTCTCTCTTGCTCTCTCTCTTTCTCTGCCTCTCTTTCTCGCTGTATAACTCTTTCAAATATATAAATAAATCTTAAAAAAAATATATATGTAGTGGAGTTTGGGGATAAAAAGATAAGTAATGTCATATTCATAAGTATATATTAAGCAGCATTTTATTTATGATCACATTTTCTCTATTACAAAATTAATTTTTTAAAATAAATTTGTCCCACAACTCAAAATTTAACTACATATTGAATATTTACACTCTGTGAATCAATTCTTACATAGAATTCCTAGTGCTTAATCAACTGTTATGATGTAAATACTAGAGATAACTAAATAGAATTACCAAAACACGGCCGGCGCCGCGGCTCACTAGGCTAATCCTCCGCCTAGCGGCGCCGGCACACCAGGTTCTAGTCCCGGTTGGGGCGCCGGATTCTGTCCCGGTTGCCCCTCTTCCAGGCCAGCTCTCTGCTGTGGCCAGGGAGTGCAGTGGAGGATGGCCCAGGTGCTTGGGCCCTGCACCCCATGGGAGACCAGGAAAAGCACCTGGCTCCTGGCTCCTGCCATCGGATCAGCGCGGTGCGCCGGCCACAGCGCGCCGGCCGCGGCGGCCATTGGAGGGTGAACCAACGGCAAAGGAAGACCTTTCTCTCTGTCTCTCTCTTTCTTTGTCCACTCTGCTTGTCAAAAATATCAAAACAAAAAAAAATCAAAGGGGGGGGTAATGGTGGGGAAGGGGGAGCTGGTGTTTGGTCTAATGGTTAAGAAGCCTGCATCCCACACCAGAGTGCCTAGGTCTGATTCCTGGTTCCAGCTCCTGACTCTAGCTTCTTTATTTATTTATTTATTTTGAGAGGCAGAGTTAGACAGTGAGAGAGTAAGTGAGAGTGAGAGTGAGAGAGAGAGAGAAAGAGAGAGAGAGAGAAAGGTCTTCCTTTGCTGTTGGTTCACCCCCCAAATGGCCTCTACGGCCGGCGTGCTGTGCCGATCTGAAGCTAGGAGCCAGGTGCTTCCTCCTGGTCTCCCATGTGGGTGCAGGGCCCAAAAACTTGGGCCATCCTCCACTGCACTCCCGGCCACAGCGGAGAGCTGGACTGGAAGAGGAGCAACCAGGAAAGAATCTGGCCCCCCAACCGGGACTAGAACCCAGGGTGCAGGCACTGCAGGCCAAGGATTAGCCAAGTGAGCCGCTTTTTGCCAGTGCTGGTCCTGGGAATCTGCTCAAGTTACCAGGTTCCTGTCACTTGAGTGTGAGACCTGGACTGTATTCCTGGCTCCAGCCCAGCCCTGACCATTGGCAGGCATTTGGGGAGTATACCAGTGTACAGGACTGTACATGAACACTCTCTCTTCCTGCTTCTTGAATAAATAAAAAATAATTTAAGAGAAATTAAAAGGGCACTAGGGAAAGGGACTGCAAATTATAGTTCTGATTAGCATATTGGCTCTTTGTAAAAAGTTTATGTAAGAATATTCTGGAAACAATGCAACGCAATAAAAATAAAACTACTTGGCAATGAAAAAAATCACATATTTCATTAAGTATAACAAATAAAAACAACCTGGTTACTGGTTTTACTTCTGAGAGGTGCGTTAAAGGGACTCTTTTCTCCGGGAGTATCCTTGTAATTATTCCAAGATTTACTGGCAACAAGTGATGTTAGCCTCAGTAGAACAAGCTTTCGTATAACAAAATGTCCTATATAATTCTGCACTTACGAGAAAGATGAGGTACCAGTATGTTTCAGTAAAAATGAAGAGGAACTGAGAACCCATGTCAATCTCTAGAAAATATTATATCCTAGAAACTAGCAAGTAATATCAGTGTATAAAAAAGTAAAAGAAATGAGTTTCCAAACTTCTTTTGTCATGGCTTCTACAGAAAGGTTAGGGTTTCCACTTGAGAAAATCACATTTCCTATTCAGTACCGAAATCCTTTCACCTAAGATGTTACACAGAGGCATGGACATCTTTTGTGACAGAATAGTACTTTAGTCGAGAAACTCATACCTACATATGAAGTAAACAAAAAACTTGCTAAGAGTAAAAAACATGTTTTAAGAAGTATATGTATTGAATTACAAAATATGCATATTTTTGTATGGCCCAAATAAACACTGCCAAAGTTGTTTTAACTCATTTCTTTGATTTATAATTACATTATCAGCTGTTCAAAATGTTTCCAGCTATTTTTTTTCACAAGTTCTAGGCCCTGAGGAAAATACTTACTAACATATCATCAGTGAGGATGCCCACTTATTACAACTTTTAAATCATTAAACATTTACTGTGTTTTACTATGCCGTAAAACACTGATTAACAAGAATCAAACTATAAGTGGCATATTCATTTCTAAATCCTTTTTATATACAAACAGAACTGAAAGCAGTAAATAGCAACACACACAAACCAGAGTTTTATATGACAAGGAGTTACAGCAATCCAGCACCACTATCACATCACACAAACACCTTCCTGATGTGTAAACTGGGAGAAGCATGACTTACTCTGCAGCAAAGGGAATCATGAACAGAAATTAAAAATATTATTTCAAATTTCAATATTCATAAAGCAACAATAAAGAGATTTGATGTGTACTGTTGTAGCAACTAGCCACGTGGCTATTTGAATTAAAATATAAATAAAAATTTTACAACTAAAAATGTAGCACCAGCCATGTTTCAAGTGCTTACTGGCTGTACGAGTTTGTGACTGCTGTATTTATTTAAGAGCACAGAAAATATTTCTATCATCACAGGACCCTCTAGGGGAAAATGCTGGTCTGTCTAGACAACTCTAAGTACTGAATGAACAAAGCCAAGTCTTCCAAGCTCACTAATTTACAAAACAGACTTACCTACAGATTCAATACGGAAATCAAAACTCAGTTCAGAGGCCAATTTCTTACTTGATTTTAATCTTCCTTGTAGGTTTACAATTTTTACAAATTCTTAAAAAAATAAAAAGGAAGTCAAGACTAGAAATGCAAATCTGTTAAAATAAATGTAACTTGATGAATTTTACATAATTATAAAATAAATTAATAGTCAAGTACTCATTTTGTTTCAAGCATGCCCAGTGAAGAACTGTCATTAAAGCTTTATAAAATAAACTATCAAAGTGCTTCCTTTAGTAAATGGTAAGTATGCTATTATTTTCTTTTTTATATAGTATATATTGAACATTTACACTCATTTTTTAAAATATATTTCTTCTTTGAGAGTAGCCACCTTTGTGTGCAAATATTTAGCACTATGAGTTTATTTTTCCCTTAGAAATTGTACAATATAAAAGTAACATTTGTAATAATTTATAACTTGGAATATATATAGTGAGAAAATTATATTCTGAAAAGATACACAGTGTAAGAAATAGCAGTCTGAAGCGCAGTAAACTCTGGGATGGGGAACATAAATAAATAATTCTGTTTTCCTTTTCCCATTTGTTTTTTGTTCACCATCGTATCTCTGCCTTGGAAGACACCTTCTCTTGGTGCTGTGCTCTCAACTGTCTGCCTCCGTGATGTGAGATGGTGGACTTATCTACTGCTGCCCGCTAAACCTGACTGACACACTGTGTAGCTGACAACCAACTTCTGCCGTCTTCCTCTGATCTCTTAAAAAACAGAAATCTCAATAAAGCTGTCTTTCTATTTACCTTGATTAACTGGGAAATGGAGGACCAACTCAATGGATTAAGAACTGTGCCAAAATATATGTCACCAAACGAAAACTAAGCACAATTTACCTACTTCGACAGCTCAGAAATTATCTAGGGATTTAGTGCTGAAGGTTCTATATTAAGATAAACTCTGGTGATGTGATTATTTGGTTAATATCAAACTTCCTATTTGTTTGAATAAAAAAATCATTTATCAAATTCACTTAAGTCTAATCTTATCAGTATTCAGAAAATGAAAAGTTCCTAACAAAGGGATGATAGTGAGTCAAGCACCTGGTTTTAATTTACTTATCTATAATATTAGGTAATTTAATCCTTCAGGGTAAACAAGGTTGGACAGAAAACTAGGCAAAATCAGTAGAACAATCTTTTAAAATAACCTTCAGCACGTACAGGCAGGTCCAGCAATTAAAAACAATGGGAATGGATCAATTCTAGGAAACATTGCCAAGATGCATTTAAACCCCAAGTCTGGGTGAACTTTTTACATAAAAATACAGTGCATTTTAAGAATGAGAGTGCTACGCTTGCAAAGTTAAATAGTGCTGTTGCTAAATTTCTTCTGCCTCTTCTGATCAGGGTACTGTATAATTCTACCAATAACAGCTCTCCCTGCATCAAAAGACTCATTGTTAGTAGGTGGAGGTGTCAGATCCATAACTACTTTAGAACTGCATTCTGATATGACTCCTAAAGTTCTTGTTATATAAGTCAGCATAACCTTTCATTTTTCATTAATTATAAGTATTGAGCTTATAAATAATTTTACTGCAAGTTTATTGCACACAGTTCTTATATAATGTCTTCAAGTAGGTCAAAGAAGAAAGTGACATAGGATAGTATTGATAAAGAGGTCAGTTACTATCTCAGTAGCTGATTCAGCCTTTTCTTCAATAAAATAGGCCAGTCAAGGTAGAAGAAAAAATCTTGATAAGGTCATTACAAAGAACTGTTTTATCAAGTAGTACACTCAAACTTTAAAATCATACTTACTGTCTAAACACACCAGAACTGTGTCTCTCTCCAGCTGTGTTACATGAATAGAGTCTAACTGCTGGCTGCCTGGGGGGAAACAATGTTACAGTTAGACAACAAGCCTGGAAAGACCAGAGCTTAGAAAACAAGCACAGGGGCCAGCACTGTGGCATAGCCAGTAAAGCCTCCACCTGCAGTGCCGGCTTCCCATATGGGCGCTGGTTCTAGTCCTGGCTGTTCCACTTCCCATCCAGCTCTCTGCTATGGCCTGGGAAAGCAGAAGATGGCCCAAGTCCTTGGGCCCTTGCTCCTGAGTGGTAGACAAGGAAGAAGCTCCTGGCTCCTGGCTTCAGATAGGCCCAGCTTCAGCTGTTGCAGCCATCTGGGGAGTGAACCACTGGATGGAGAACCTACCACCCCATCCCCTCCCCCGCCTCTCTGTAACTCTGCCTTTAAAATAAATTAAAAAATTAAAAAAAAAAACAAGCACAAATTCTGACTCTTAACATTAGTCTTTGAAATATAGCACATTTTTAAAAAAATATTATTTCCAAAAAAAGTATTTAAGTCCTAACATGGCCAATAGAACTAAAAAAGAAAAAAACTATTTCATTTAATTCATACCTCAACTAGTGCTAGAAAAGTGGGCTATGAGAACAAAATGAAGCAAAGGGTAAATACGGGCAGGCAACTAAGATGCATGCTAAATACAATGGCTGGATTTTGCTCTGCATTTTGCAGTCACTGGGAGACACAAACATCATATTTCGGTGGATCACAGCATAACTGAAATGTACAAAACCCAGTGATTCAAAAAAGCACAAAGACTAGTCAGACTCTGATCAGAGGAATTTTCCTGGGGTTGGTGTGTGCTTATAGTAGGAGGCTCTTAATACAGAGGAGATGAGTCACATAACGAACAATCTTGTCAACAACATCTTTGCAGGATGCAACTCTCTCACTTAAATGGTATTCATAGGGCCACTTATAACATATTTTTGGTAAATGACTTTATTTTAAGCACTCAGATTCCTCCTGTGGTCCAGCTGAATCTGAGAACAGATTTTAGATTATGCAGAGAAGTACTTTTAACTATACCCTTTTGGGACCTACGGATCTGCTTCCTTGAAAACTGCACACACACAGAGCTTCGACACAGTATTCTAGGGTGTCTGTGGCCCTTCCAAACTTGATACGTAGTGAAGAATCCTGATGTTCAGTTCCAATAAATGGTCTCTTGGGCAATGCTCCTAAAAACAGTTTCTCTCAGATAATCTATGTCCATGCATTCATTCACCACACAAAGCCATATGTAAGTGCCTCACCCTTGGAGGGGGGGATACTGCTAAGACTACAGGGGCTGTAGAACAGGAGCTCATTTTAATACTATAGTTGTTGCCAGCTGAAGGCATAGCCTTTTTATTTATTTATTTATTTATTGACAGGCAGAGTGGACAGTGAGAGAGAGAGAGACAGAGAGAAAGGTCTTCCTTTGCCCTTGGTTTTCCCTCCAATGGCCGCCGCGGCCGGCTCACCGCGCTGATCTGAAGCCAGGAGCCAGGTGCTTCTGGTCTCCCATGGGGTGCAGGGCCCAAGTACTTGGGCCATCCTCCACTGCACTCCCTGGCCACAGCAAAGAGCTGGCCTGGAAGAGGGGCAACCAGGACAGAATCCAGCACCCCGACTGGGACTAGAACCCGATGTGCCGGCGCTGCAAGGCGGAGGATTAGCCTAGTGAGCCGCAGCGCCGGCAGGCATAGCCTCTTAGTTGAACAAGGAACATGGCTGGAAGTTGGGTTAACAGAAAATGGAGAGGCGAGGGCTGGAGGAGAAGGGCTTCCACACCTCTGCTTGAGAGGGAGTTGAACGGTTACCCTCAGGCAGAATGCTGGCTCTCCTCAAGAAGCAATTTTGGATCTGCCTTAATGTTAGCCTGAACAATGTTACAAGAGGGTAAAATTGTATACTTTAGCCATTAAAAAAAAAAAAAAAAGATAAACAAAACCCTCAAACAAAACGCAAAAAACCCAAAGCTGGCCTGCCTAGCCTAATACTTACCAAGAACAATGTGGTTACACATACACGGGGCTAGTCCACGCAGAAGCCAGGAGCCAAGAACTCCACCTGGGTCTTTCATGTGGGTGGCAGAGGCCTAAGTACTTGGGCCATCATCTGCTGCCTTCCCAGGAACATTAACAGGAAGCTGGATCACAAGTGGAGCAGCAGGAACTCTATCTAACGAGCAGTCTGATATGGGATGCAGGCATCACAAGCCTTGGCTTAACCCACTGGGCACAATGCTGTTCTCGATCTTGGTTTTTAAATAAGCTGATTCATAATCCTTTTGAGTAGCAGTCACCTACAGGGAAATATCTCCTCTTTTTTTTTTTTTTTAAGATTTATTTTATTTGAGAGAGAGTTATACACAGAGAGAGGTAGAGACAGAGAGAAAGGTCTTCCTTCCGTTGGTTCACTCCCCAAATGGCTGCAACAGCCGGAGCTACGCCGATCTGAAACCAGGACCCAGGAGCTTCTTCTGGGTCTCACGCGGGTACAGGGGCCCAACGCCTTGGGCCATCTTCTACTGCCTTCCCAGGCCATAACAGAGAGCTGAATGGGAAGTGGAGCAGCTGGGACTAGAAGCGGAGCCCATATGGGACGTTGGCGCCACAGGCGGAGGATTAACCCACTGCTCCACAGTGCCGGCCCCGAAATATCTCCTCTTACTAAGGTGCTTACTTCTCAGGACGATTAAGCACCTTTCTGTTACTTATAGCAGAAGTAGGGCATTCAACTCAACCCAAAGCACTAACCAATTAATTAATTAAAAGGGAAGGTTGGGGTGTGTCGCTCCCCCTCTTCATGGAGGAGCGACACTAAGCCCTGCCTAGGCTTCATATCCGAGTCACGGCACCATTATGTCGCTCCCCTCTTCGCGGAGGAACGACACAGGACCCTGCGCTGTTCTTTTGTCTGCTCGGCCCTCCCCGGGTTTGCTGCTGGTTCTTCCCGGGTTGGCTGCCGTCCCTTCCACCTCCGTGGAAGGGCAGTTCCCCCTGCCACTTTCCCCACTTCCGCGGGGGAGCGGCACACCGCCGGCCGGCTCTCTCGGGGGCTGCTCAGGTGTTCCTTCAGATAGATGTTCCTGGTGCATGTTGTCTCTCTCCTCCTTTATAGTCCTCTTCCACCAATCCCAACTCTGCTACCCACACGCCGAGTACGCTGCTCTCCTGCAATCAGGAGCAGGTCCTGCTGTTTATTGGTTGAACTGGAGGCAGCTGTGTAGAAGCTGTTTCCTCCTCTCCCAGCGCCATATTGTGGGAGAGCAGATGTATAGAATAAGTCTTAATTCCAGTAACTTAGTCTAGTCCGAGTTGCTCCCCACAGGGGTGTGAGTGAGAGGGCACAGAAAACGCTCCCATTTTACCTTACTGGAAATTATGACTTGGTTCACAGACAGGGGGCTTAAAGTCCAGTGCATGCTGAAGCTAGCTTGGACAGGACTGTTAGATTTTCAGGAATTCTGTGTACCATATGATAACAAGTTGGTAGTTTGCAACTAGTACTACAGGAGCATTTATATCACAGAAAGAGGCAGCCATGACAAAGGGCTGCTTCCCAAGACCCTGTTGTTAAACACTGTGAGAGGGCCCGGCGCTTTGGCACAGCAGGTTAACACCATGGCCTGAAGTGCCGGCATCCCATGTGGGCACTGGTTCTAGTCCTGGCTGTTCCACTTCCCATCCAGCTCTCTGCTATGGCCTGGGAAAGCCGTAGAAGATGGCCCAAGTCCTTGGGCCCCTGCACCCATGTGGGAGACCCGGAGGAAGCTCCTGGCTTTGCGGATCGGCGCAGTTCCAGCCGTTGCAGCCATCTAGGGAATGAACCAGCGGATGGAAGACCTCTCTGTCTCTACCTCTCTCTGTAACTCTTTCAAATAAGTAAAATAAATCTTTAAATAAAAACATTTATGAGGATACCACTATTTCATATTGATTCTTATTCTCCAAGTGACATTAGTGCAGGTTTTGTATTAGCTTCAATAGCTAGAATGTACAATACGTTCTTATAATTCAGTCTATATGTGATCAAAAGCCAAAGAAAACACTGAGGAAGGAATCTCAAAGCTGGAATACTTAGAACAGATTTCTTCACAAGGTGGTAAAGATCCTAACAGTGATCAGTAAGGGAACAGCCATCACTAAAGCTTTCTTGTCTTCGCATGTTAAAATAAAATGGCCTCTCTGTGTAACTCTGACTTTCAAATAAGTAAATAAATCTCTAAAAAAATAAATAAAATGGCCTAATAAATCTGAGATTACCAATGACAAAGAATGTCTTAGCACAACCAACTGGAAATGACAAAATGAGGAGCCTCTCTCATTTCACATATTTTACAGGTCTAAAAAGATAAATCCTTGATTGATTTGTTCCAATTGTAAAGTCTGAGAATAAACTTCCCAACCTTTTCAGTCTTCACTGAGACATGTGGTACAAATCCTAGGCTTCCAATGATCCTTAGAAAGTATGAGACATCTAAATGGAAAAGCTTGCAGGCCATACCTGGCAAGTTTCTATTCAAATCTGAAAAGCACATTCAATGATTTTAAGAAATAAGGGGAAAAAAAAAAGATAGGAAAAAGCAGGATAGGGAAAAGGAAACTCTTGTTGCTTGAGAAAGCATTAAAATTTGAAGAGTATCTTTCAAATTTAACTATTAGGGCTGGTGCTGTGGCACAGCAGATAAAGCTGCCACCTGCAGTGCTGGCATCCCATATGGACGGTGGTTCTAATCCTGGCTGCTCCACTTCCCATTCAGTTCTCTGCTATGGCCTGGGAAAGCAGTGGAAGACGGTCCAAGTCCTTGGGCCCCTGTACCCATGTGGGAGATCTGGAAGAAGCTCATGGTTACTGGCTTCAGATCAGCACAGCTCTGGCTATTGTGGCCATCTGGGGAGTCAACCAGAGCATGGAAGACCTCTCTTTCTCTCTCTCTGCCTCTGCCTTGCCGTAACTCTTTCAAATAAAATAAACCTTAAAAAAAAAAAAAAATAAAGATAGCTGGCGCCACGGCTCAATAGGCTAATCCTCCACCTAGCGGCGCCGGCACACCGGGTTCTAGTCCCGGTCGGGGCGCCGGATTCTGTCCCGGTTGCCCCTCTTCCAGGCCAGCTCTCTGCTGTGGCCATGGAGTGCAGTGGAGGATGTTCCAAGTGCTTGGGCCCTGCACCCCATGGGAGACCAGGAAAAGCACCTGGCTCCTGCCATTGGATCAGCACGGTGCGCTGGCCGCGGTGCGCCGGCCGCGGCAGCCATTGGAGGGTGAACCAACGGCAAAGGAAGACCTTTCTCTCTGTCTATCTCACTATCTACTCTGTAAAAAAAAAAAAAAAAAAAAAAATTAAAGATAAAGAAAATGTAACTATTTAGCAAGTCCAAAGATTAACTGGTAACAACTAAGACCTTTGAATATCAGGACATTTTCCTTGGTAAAATAATTTCTATCCAACTGCCTCTGGCAAACTGAGATCATAAAACATGTGAAGGTATTTGAAAAAGTCTGTGAAAAAATGCAATTAGAAGAAAAGACACACTTTCCATGAAAAATCTGAAGACCTGCCATATGTCCATGATCCCCAGGGCTTACTTGGAAAACTATGTTCAGAATATTTATTTAAAAGAGCCTATACTAGTTGAACCTATGTATTTTTTTTTCTCTTGCAAAAGCGTCAATACTCTAACATAAGAGAAAAACACTTACCTGTGCCGATTTCTGTAAACCATGAAGATGTAGAATTCAAATTGATTGTCTCAAACTGAACTACCTGATTTGATTCGGTGCCCTTGCTAATAGCTACACAGACCATAGGATATTCTTGTTCTGGGATGACCAGCATTTCAAAAACGTTCAAAGGACTTGGCAAAGGAAAATCAAAGTGCTGCAAAAAATAAAAAACAGAACTGTAATTCAGAAATAGCCTCCCAAGTCACACAATTGCTGAAAGAAGTCAGAAGAAAAGCTTCCCTCTCCTTGACTTATCTAATTCTGTAAAGGACTACCTCTATGATGAGCATAAGGAAGAATGTTCTACAGAAAAGTGTTTTGTAGAATTGGCCACGTTCATCTTTATGGCTGTAATGGTTTTGGAAATTGATGAAAAAATATAAGTTAAAGAGGGAAACTCAATAACACAAAATCCCCAAGTCAAATACATAAACAATGACAGATATGCTCACTCTCTGCAGACAGTAATAAAGGGGTCTTGTTTATGACTCAAGCTAAGATTACTAGTATTTTCTAAAGAATGTAAATAAACAAAGTAACACATACCTTTATCAACATGAATTTCTGCATTGGCTCATACCACTGAAGTAGAACAATTCCAGACTGTAACGCTCCACAGAGGTATTTATGTCCCGTGTATGGATTTCTGACTGGAAACAAGCAAAAAATCAAGACATACTCAGAACACAAGTATCTTTGTATTTGGTTAGTTTAACTAAAAGCAACAAATGAACGATGCTCGCCTCAAGTTTAACTTAGCTCTTATTATAAAGGAGGGACAGACAGGAATAAAAAACAATGAAATGTGATCTGATATCAAAACCAAAATACAGAAGAAGAAACTACTGAAAGTGATTAGTTAACTGTTAAAGAAAAAGTCCTGATTCTGTTAACTAGGAAGACAAGAACAGGCAAGAAAGACTTTGTTATTCTTTTCCTTTTCACTTACTTAAAATTTTAAATTACATATATTTATTTCTAAATATCTTTACTATGCCACATTCTCTCTCTCTTAAGATTATTTATTTTACAGGCAGAATGACACACAGAGAGAGACAGAGAGACAGGGAGCAATATCTTCTATTCACTGGTTCACTCCCCAAAAGGCCAAAACAGCCAAGACTAGGCCCGGTGGAAGCTGGGAGGCTAGAATTCCATCCGGGTCTCCCACATGGGTGGCAAGGGCTCAAGTACTTGGGCCATCCTTCCCTGCTTTCCCACGCACACTGGCAGGGAGCTGGATCAGAAGTGGAGAAGCTGGGACTTGGCTGGGTGTTCTAATATGAAAGGCTGGGGTTGCAGGAAGCAGCTTAAACAGCTGCATCAGAACGCAGGCCCCTGTCAGAACAATACAGTAAGACTGAAACACTTCAACTAGTACCCAGGAAGACTATTAGAAAGCTCATGGAAAAATGGATTTCAAAATTTTATTTTGCTGCAAAAATATTTTGAAAACCATACAAAACTGTTTATAATATGCATTTTCCATAGACTTTTTGAAGACACCACATGCAATGTTAAAAACCTGTTTTGTAAGTAACCTGACTAAAAGGACAAATTGTCCAAGAAAGTCTAGGCAATTGAAATGCTTGATTTCATTTCCCATATAAGATGTCTAAGCCAAGATGAAAATAATTAACTCATCTGTATGTATGTATTCATCTTGATAGAACTTCCCTGGCTCAAATTTACAAAAAATCTTACTGGTATTTCTTTCTCCCCAGTTTGACCCCTATTGATAAAAACAGACTGATGGCAAAAGCAACTGCTTCCATTCAGTTCTGCAGTATTATTTATGAGTTTAAATCTTAGACTGTAAGCTTCCAGATCTTTTTGAGTCATTGATCTTGGAAATGTATGAACCAATATGGACATGATTCTCCCCAGAAAAATGGTGACAAAACGTGCTTATACATGTAGTTTGTGTCTAAATGTTTTTATTCCAGAGCATACCGACTACTCTGGGTAACTATTTTTTTTCAGGGCCAGGTACCGTTCTCCCTGAGCCTTTACAGCAGCCCTGGAAGGTGGATGCTTCTGTTATCATTGCCATGTTTTCACACAAGGAAACTGACACACATAGTAAGAAACTTCCCCAACACAGCCAGTGACTGTGACACCCCCACTCTCTAGGACTGTGTTCAGGGCTGTCATCTGCCAAAAGCACTCAGCAGAGTCCTGGTGGATGGACACAAGACCGGGACCCCGGATCAGACGATGGGGTCTTGGTGGGATGGAGGGCACAGTGGGTTGGAGCGCAGTGAACCTGAAGCTGGGCTCTGAGTCCGGGCAGCCACCAGCGGGGCCACTGCTGCCCAGAGGCAGACATGGACAGGCTCACACCGGGCCTGGCATCATCCCCACTGTGCCATTTCTGGCCTCACCTCCTCCGCCTCCTCCCATTACTCTGGGTAACTATTAATTCTTCTGTTCTTTGATCAGACAAAGGAATAAACAGGAAGTTAGGAGCCCAAGATCTGAAGTCACTGGACGTGGATGTGTTTCTTACTAGTGACAGTGAAGATCAAGTGTCCTGAAGTTGTTTAAGAAGTTTAATAAGATAATTACGTAGCATACAATTTAATCTTGCCCTTGAAGAGTTTTCTGTCTTCCCATTTCTGGGAAACAGAATCCTTAAGCCTTTGGAATGTTGGGATTGACAGGAGTCTCTCTGTGGACTTCAGGTCACCGGCTAGTCTGACAACTTGTACGACTTCGGGTGGGGTCTTTAGGTCACACAGGACTAGCTTTCTTCTGGAGGGGCTGCATCCTGAGATCAGCCATGGGGACGATCAATCACACACTTCCGATGGAGTCCCAGTAAGAACTCTGCACAGCTTCCTTGCTGGACAACACGCATGTGTTCTGCCAGGCACTTCCATTATTTCCCAGGGCAGTCAAAGTGCCACCTGTAGCACTTTTTCTGGACCCTGCCTCCTCTTCTTCCCTTGGCTGATTCTAACTTGCATCTTTTCCCTGGTAATAAGCCCATGTAACCATGAGCATAACTCCTCTCAGTGAGTTCTCTGAGTCCTTCGAGAAAAATTTTCAATTAAGGGTAGTTTTGGGAAACCTCCCCACCCTCAAGGTTGCAATGCTATCAGAGGGAAGTGGAGGTCTTATGTGGACTCTTCTAACTTGAAAGTTGGCTAAACTCCTGTAAGCAATGTTCCTGAGTAATTGGTAGATGCTGGGTGTTAAATGAAAGCCAGGATATTAACAGAGATATAAACTCAGAGACCATGGTTTAAAAACTCCAGAACACTATGCTCTGAGAAAACAGTAAGGCCATTAGTTCCAAGCATTTCTATGCCACATCTCTACATTCTTGTGCTTCGATGACACTTTAACTCTTTACCAAAAAGATTCAACAAAAAGAAAAACCTACCCTGTTTCCTATTTGATTCTATGAAACTCTTCAGATAATTTTAAAAATGCCTTAAGATCTAACTACCCAGTTACAGAAATAGCACTTACTCACCTATGCAACATTTGTGGCAGCCTTTTGTATCAGGAATCTTTGTTGTTAAAGCGAACTTTCTGAAAACATAAGACAGTAACAATGTATCTACTGCAGTGGTTAGAGTGACTTATTTATTTAAACATTTTATTTATTTATTGCGAGGCAGAGAGAAACAGAAAGACAATGAAAATGTGAGCTCTCATCTGCTGGTTCAATCCCAAATATTTGCAACAGCTTCAGATGCTGTGAGTAGGGGACACAATCCAGGTCTCCCACATGGGGAGCAGCAACCCGGCTTTATGAGTCATTATCACTGCTCCCAGGGTGTTAGCAAGAAGCCCGAGTTAGGAGTAGAGGTTTTTTTTTTTTTTTTTTTTTTTTTTTTTTAAAGATTTATTTATTTGAAAGTCAAAGATACGGAAAAAAGAGGGGGAGGTAGAGAGAGAGAGAGAGACAGAGAGAGAGGAAGGGCTTCCATCTGCTGGTTCACTCCCTAAATGGCTGCAATGGCCCAGGCTGAAGCCAGAAACCTGGAGCTTCTTCTGGGTCTCCCAAGTGAGTGTATGGGCCCAAGCACTTGGGCTATCTTATCTCCTGCTGCTTTCCTAGCATATTAGCGGGGAGATGGATCAGAAGTAGAGGAGCCAGGTCTTAAACTGGCACCCGTATGGGATGTCAGTATCACACGTGGAGGCTTAACCTACTATGCCACAACACTGGCCTAAGGAGTGGAGCTTTTATTAAATCCATTACTTCAGTATGTGACATGGGGTATCTTAACATCCAGGCTAATGCCCACCACACACACACACACACAATTATTTACTGGCAAACAGTGATTTATCAAACAGCTGTATCTGAAACAGATATAAAGAATTAAAACAAAACAAAAACACAACACAACACCTTCTTTGGACTCTATGACTCCACCCAACCTGATTTAGTAAAACTGAGGTAGGGCCTGAGAATGTGTATTATAAAAATGCCTCCACAGGTGACTCTCATGGACACTCAGGTGGTACATTCTAGATGGCATGTAGTTGAGTCTAAAGTACCTTTGAAAATTAAGACAAAGGAATTTTTTTTAAACTGGTTGTTTTCAAAATAAACACTAATTCCTGTCACTCTCAGTAGTACCAGAATGATCTGTACCTTGGCAGTATGCGGTCTGGAAACCTGTGAGTCTGAATATGGGCAGCTAATCCTGGTTTCTTGGCTTGTTCAAACAGAGCTATAAGATTATGAGAGTAGAGCTGAAAGGTTTTTCCTGTAAAAGAGAAATGTTATTTTTATTAGAATTATTTACAGAGTAGAAACACAATTTTTAAGTTAAAGAAAATGCAATTACCTTCTAAAATGAGGATCCAGTAATGTTCCAAAAGCCAAGCAATATAGAAAAACACACATAAAATCTCAGTTAATACTATTTTGAAAAATAATAATAGGTAAAATAATTTTTTAAAGCAAACAGATTTCTGTTTTGAAATACACAAATCAGGTGTATTCTAATAGGTGATTTGTGCAGAATACATATACCTCAATGATGCCTGCATAGTAAAAGAAACTGGTAAACCCTGTTATATAAAACCTTACTGTATGGACTGACGTAGAGCAATGCCCATGTGATTATTTCAGTATAACACAGGAAACTGACTGTGATTTAAAGTGACTGTGAATGAAGTCTCAGATAAACCAGATTTAAAAACTAACAAAAGTAAAGCAAACCAATATTATAAGCCACAATACAGGATAACAAGGGTACATCTCGACAGAATCAGAAATGTAGCTGTGTTAAGCAGGGTGTGATATGGTAAATACCTTAATTCATTACGCATGGTATGGTAATACTGCAATACAAAATATTTCTATCCTTTTAGTATTAGAAAATATACTTATCAGCAACTAAATTCTCCAAATTCTCTCAGACTAGGAGCACTCCACTTAACACAACATTGCCTCTCCTCTTTCCACTTCCCGTATGTATACAGTTAGCTACTTAGGTTGCTGGACAGCTAAACGTATATGTACATGCATGTGAATGTTTTCTGCTACTGAGCTCTGCTGCATATCTATTTTCAGTTTCATGAGTCATTGTAAGTAGGCCATGGAAAGAATTAACCTACAGGCTTACTTTCCCCCTGCTTTCTCATAGTAATTTTACAAATACATAAAGTGTAGCTGATGTAACTTTTTTTATTTCCAAAGACAAAGATAATTAGGAATAAAAATAGCAAGATAATTCAAGAAAGATAACTGTATATGCCTATACTTCAGAACTATTAATGCAAAAGAATTGAGTTTAAGCTTATTTTTTGTGATGTTATTTTTAATTTACTTTATAGTCACAGGTTTAATACTCCACTAAATAAAGAGGTCAGCAAGTAAAAAGTAGAAAAGACCACTCTTCAGCAGATAAGTGCTGTGCACAATAATCAAATTCTAAGATGGCAATTTCACTGATACACATTACATTTTTTGGTACTGTTTATATTACTACCACAAATCAGAGAAAACATGTAATATTTTTCTTACTGGGTCTGGGACCCCAGCTTTTTAGAAGCCATTTATACATAGTGAAATAATATGTCCTTTATAAATGCCATCATTAGCTGAAATACAGATTCCTGAAGAATCTCTATTAGAAAAAATAATTAACTATCAGCAATCCTATGGGTATTCACTTAAGTGCAAAATGTAAACAAATATGTTTTTTGGTAGGTAAAAATTTTTTAAAAAGAGCGAAATAACACACACTCAGCCATTTAACCTACAACAACCAAAAAGAAAGGAAAAGAAGATCACAAAAAGCAAACTTAGACTTGCTTTGAAGACTGTAAAGTATTATACAAGACGGTGAACACGTGGTGCAGAAAAACATGAATTCCCCCAACAAACATCGCTGGGAGACCTCACACTTGACTAGGCATTTTGGGTATCACCTCATTTCATCCTCACAATGGCCTCATGAGACTGCTATAGTTACCCCATCATCCTCATCTGACAATTAAGGAAACTGAGGCCCAGAGAGGATGAGCGACTTGCTTGAGGTCAGAGAAAGGACGCACTGCCACTCTTTGCTTCTTTCCCTTAAGGACTGTCAATCCCCCATGGAGGTGGATGGTGACCGTGACAGTGGAGAGCACCCGGGTGACAGTCATTGCCTTATCCCTCTGGTGCTGTGGTGCTGGGTGGGTCTAAGAAGTGCTAATGTAACTAAAGACGAATCCCTTCTCAAAGTTTACTCCCATTCTAAGAGGGTCCTAGTTACTACACTAGATCAGAGAGACTTACATTTACAATAGTGAATACTAAAATTACATTTCTCAGGTTTACTAAATTTACATTTCTTTGCCTATGGTTTATTCTTCATCATTACATACATACCTGATAATGACATTAAAGTATTATTGATAACATATAGCCAGGTACACTTCCGTGGAAATAACTGAAAAAAAAAATCATTAAACTCTTTAATGTCAATTCTCTTATGTCTTAACCTCCAAATTCCAGCATTCTGAAATAGTATAAACAGTATATTTTGTATTTAAGGACATTATCGATATTTTCAAGAAAAAAAAAGACCTTTCAAGACAAACGTGAAGAATAAAATTTCATTTCTTTAAATACTTCAATCATAAAAATTAAATTGGAGTGCAACATACTGATTTTAAATTAAGATTCTACTTTTATTCTGTATGTCCAAATTAAATTGAGTTAGAATTCTAAATTACCTGTTCCATAGTTGCCTCATGCAGCTCATTGAGATTCAATGTGTAAATGCCATCTTCGGTTCCAAAAATAATGTACTGATCTGAAACAGTTGATAAATTACCAGAATTTGTTACCGTTGTCTGAAAACATTCTCTAAAATAGTAGCTTTGTGTTGTAACAGCGTTAAGACTTGGTCAGCTAGCCATCCATCCAAAATAAAAATATTTTCTAAAAGCATGCCGTTTTCTTCACCTCTTTTCTCCAATTTCTGCCTTATCTTTTAAAATTAGATATATTATAGGTTAGATGAACTCACTCAGACTTTATCTTACCATTATCATTCTCCCTTCAACATAATTTTCATATTTTCTATTGTACTAATCAGTGTTTGCCACACACCTACCTCAAGTAATCTTTTAAACAAGGAAAATGTGACTTAAAGACAAATTATAAATCATGACACACTGGAAACAATGAGTACATTTAGTGCCCACATCTTGGTTTCTAAATACTATTTTCCACTAAAAAGAACCAGGGCTTCTCAGAGAAAACCAAGATTCCTATTCTGAGGCAAGGAAAGTATAAGATGAACAAAGAAAGCTTACTGTGCTAGAAAAGAAGAAAGGTACTCAGGAAATGAGAATGGTCCATACAAAAGAACATAGGATATCCCAAAGACTCTGGGACAATTTAAGTGTGAAAATAAATTAAAAGTGATTAGATGATATCTCACTGAATGAAATAAGAATTTGTAAGTTCAAACTGATAGAAATATATGTTAATACACAATACAGAGGCCGGTGCCGCGGCTCACTTGGCTAATCCTCCGCCTGCGGCACCAGCACCCCGGGTTCTAGTCCCGGTTGCTCCTCTTCCAGGCCAGCTCTCTGCTGTGGCCCAGGAAGGCAGTGGAGGATGGCCCAAGTACTTGGGTCCTGCACCCGCATGGGAGACCAGGAGGAAGCATCTGGCTCCTGGCTTCAGATGGGCGCAGTGTGCCGGCCGTAGTGGCCATTTGGGGGGTGAACCAATAGAAGGAAGACCTTTCTCTCTGTCTCTCTCTCACTGTCTAACTCTGCCTGTCAAAATAAATAAATAAATAAATAAATAAATACAAATAAACAATACAGAAAGGAAATTGCTGATGGAATGCCAATGGATACTAAAAGCAGTGAGTCAAAGTTTCATGAGCAAGAGCCAGTGGAAGCCTCAATGCAGCACAACACTAATTCCTTAATAAATAGAAAAGAAAAAATTGTAACTTGATGGTGGAAAAACTTAGTATGTATCAGTTTAACCAACTGATCAACATTAACATCTTTAGTATTTGGACAAGCTGATGTCATGAATACTGAATGAGGCACTGGGAACAGCACTATAATATTTGTGTTAGTCCTCCAAAAATGTAAACCTGATCTAAGCATGAAGATTCATCAGACAAATCCAAATTAAGGGACATTTTACAAAATAAGTGGAGATCAGGAGAGACAAGGACAGGTTTAGTAATTGTTTGAAATGAAAGTTAAAAGAGATAAAGCAGTTTAATGCAACAACAGGTGATCTTGAATTGAATACTGGACTAGTGGCATAAAAACAGAGATATAATGAATGTTATTGGGATGATAAAATTTAAAGAAGGACTTTGGGTTAAAAAACAGTATTATATCAATGATAAATTTCTCAATCTTTATGACTGTACTGAGGATACATAAGAGATGATTCTTATTCCTAGAAAATACATACTGAAGAATAAAGAATAGAAGAGCATAATGTCTCCAATTTATTTTCAAGTATTCAAGAAAAAATGACTATATAGATGGAAAATGGGCAAACATGGGGTAAAATAGAAACAACTGGTAATTCTGAGTATACAGCAGTTTCTTGTAATTTTTTAAACCTTTTTGTAAGTCTGAAATTATATCAAATAAAAAGATACAAATCAAAAAAATTTTTCTTAGTATTAAATTTTTTTTGTTATATTTCTGTAATGGTGGCCTTTAAAGCAAAGCATTATATGACCTGTGTTTATCACTGTGTTGAAGGAGATAAACATTTCCTAAACTGCTCTGCTGCTTAAACTCTGTTTGCCAATTAGCAGACTCAGGCAGGCTCTTTCCACCAACAAGGCAAGTACAAACAGCAATGACATTGTGAAAGGACAACACTGAGAGTCACATGATAATGACACGGTTGGAATTCAAACCTAGACCTACTTAATTCCAAATATTTGCCTGCATGTATTATGCTTTTTTTAAAAGCCTAAATTAAAAAAGTCATTGACATCATTCAGACATATAGAAAAAGTAATAAATACAAAGAACTGTATATCCTTAGTACAGATTCTACCAATGTGTGAAATGTGTCTGCTTTTGCTCAATCATTCCTTCTCCATAAATACATTTTGTTCTTTGAAATGCTGAAGGAAAGTTAGACATGAATATCTTTTACGCCTACATATTTCAGTGCATATTTCATTTTTATAAAACGTCTTACATAACCACAAGATGTTAACACTGAAACTACACAATGATCTAGTCCCCAGATTTTACTGATTGAGATTACAAATTATCCCCATAATGTCCTTGGACAGGAAAAGGAAACTCCATGGCTGCAATCAGCTGTGATGCCTTCTTAGACTCCTTTAGTCCAGAATAGTTCCTGTACCCTCTTAAATTTTAACGCCTTTAAGTGAAAACTAACTATATAGACTGTAATATATTGACTGTAAACTACACAATTTAGCCTCTATGGTCATATTTTAAAAATAAGCTTCAGTTCACTGGTTATGAAGATCCTTTCTCATAATAAGTATTTTTATTATCAATATATACAAAAATCAGAAATTTTACCTTTTGTGTCAGGATGTATCCAAGATGTCGCACAATTAATTTTCAAAGGGCAGCCATCAAAAACTTTTGAAAAACATGCTCCCATCTTATTCATAAAGAAAGAAATATTGAATTATTTGATAATTTTATACTTTCTAAAAAATACCTAAGATCATTATAAAATGTCAAACTTACTCCTATTTTCATTTATTTATGGATTCATCCCAAAACTAAACTCATATTTTGACTTAATTTTACTCCTTTTACCAACTATAATCTACTAAGTTAGGGCAAAAATACCTAATTTATCAAAATATCTACATATGCCAACAATATGGTACAGGAATTTTAAGTTATTACTTTTCTTTAAGACTAACAGTATTAATGTGAAACAATGATGATTTTATTCAGGAGCATTACTGTGATTATAATTTCAGCACAACATCTATGAATCAGACTTTCACTGAATAAAAGCTAATTTATAAAGCACCTCATTCATGTGATTGGTTGAATCACCTCACAGACAGCTTTAGAAAAGGAGTTAAGCGGCTTTCTTTCCAGGTTCTGATTTATTTACCCAGATCACAGTATCCAGCATTAAAACATGCCCCTCCACTCCTTTCTAGTATATAGTCCAATGTCCAATGTGAAAACAATGTGAAAATGGCTTCAGGGATAGAAAGACACTTAACCCACATGACTAACTGGACGCAAAGCTATTAATGCCATCACATTCAGATTAAATTGTTCTTTCCAGGCTAATCTGGGAATACAGCTGCCAGTATTTATAAAAACATTCCAAATTCAAACTAATTCACTCAAATAAAGGAGTATGATTTGATCCCTAGGATGCAAATATATCTATTATCTTTTTAAGAAATATATACTTCCTTTCAACGGTTCAAGGCATTTGATAGCAAACATAATTCTGCTGCTTCTAAAGAGATTAAAAAATGGCAAGTAGTTCACATAAAAATATTCCTTACCAGCACTTTCGGGGTAGGTGGAAGACCATTGATAGCTGGTTTCTGTGAGAAAAAAACAATTTTTAATGTAAGATCTCTAAACATTAAAAAACATGTTAGATATTTAGAAATTTAATTATTTGAATTCATGAATTCAAGAGACTGGGCCCCTTAGATGATAAGCACAGCATCAGTTACAGCTCATCACAGAATACCCGCTAATACCTACAGGGAAGTCTCGCTTGTCTTTTTTCCGTGGTAACTGCGGTGCTTGCGCTGACCCTTCGGTATTTTCACTCATCAGCTTTGAGATCCCATCACCATTTCCTAAGGAGAGACACAGTGCAAGTTGAATAATGTACTTACAGCAAGTACTTTCTTTGAAAAATATTTTTTTTCCTTTAGTACCTATCTTCCACTTGGGTGATACTTTAACAGGAAAAAATTATTTTATTTTTAGATTTACTTATTGTTTATTTGAAAGGCAAAGAGAGAAAGAGAGAGAGATGGAGAGATGGAGAGAGAGAGAGAGATGGAGAGAGAGAGAGAGAGAGAGAGATGGAGAGATGGAGAGATGGAGAGACGGAGAGACAGAGAGATATTCTATATGCTGTTCACTTCCCAAATTCCAGCAATCACCAGGGTTCAGCCAGGCCAAATCGGGATCCAGGAGCCTGGAACTCCACTTGAGTCTGTGATGTGGGCAGCAGGAACCCAATTACTGGGCTATCACCCACTGCCTCCTACGTGCATTAGCAGGAAGCTGGATAGGAAGCATGGACTTGAACCAGACACCCCAATATGGGATGCAAGTGACTCAAGCAGTTAAGTTAACCTGCTGTGCCACAATACCTGTCCAAATTAGGGAATATTTTCTATTGTCAGATGAATTAATTTGAGTGCCTTTCCCTAGATCCTGTAGACATAACAGTGCCTCTTCAGCAGTGTTTTTAATCTATGAAAACAACAAATACCTTTCCACACTGTGAGAAAAATGGAATGTGTATAGGAGTGAAATCACATTTTGAGATTTGATGATTGTTTGTAGCCCTGGTCTCTACCATTGAGGAACAGTGTTTTTGTCTTCTTACTATTTGTTGACCTCTACTTAGCATGAGGTTAATCTTATGAGTATAAAGTAAACTGAAAGCCGATCATTATAAAAATTAAGAGGGAATAAGAGAGGAAAGAGGAGAAGGGATTGCAGCATGGGTGGGAGGTAGAGTAGGGTAGGAAGTACACTATGTTCCTGAATCTGTATATATGAAATACATGAAACTTATACAACTTTAAATAAAATTAAAAAAAGAGAGATTAAAGAAGGAAGACACAGTAGTATGTTTGACAAATTGGATGTGTAGAGTGATGAAAATGAGGGACTCCAGATCAGATTAATATTTTTGAGTCAAAATCATTGGAATCATGTGAGATATTTACTGCTATTATTATACCAAGGCAATGAAAAGTACTCATAATAAATTTGTATTCCTTGTTATTTGCACAGAACCATATCTAATTTATTCAAAATGTACTATATATGGAACATAACAAAGCTAGCACTCATGAACTTTAAGATGGCTGTTCTTAATTACAACCACTGAACTATGTCTGGTGTTTGTTCTATTACTTAGGTTTCTTATCAGCCAATGTGCAGCTGCAGGGAAGAAAAAGACACCGTCTTTCCTTTCCCTTTTACTTTAATGTTAACAAAGATGAAGGGTGAAAAACTGAACCAAGTGTCTGTCCTTGGTCCCAATTTCTATGAATAAAGGCTTTTCCTAAAAGAAAAAAAAAAGACCTAATGATGTTGATGCTCAAGGCTTTTGATAACTGACCTTTAATCTGTGCTCAGTCCTACCTTCCTTTTCAGTCTCAAACTTCCATCATACTGACCAAACTCCAAACACGATTCAGACTGCCCTGCTGCAGTGCACTTACACACCCCAGTCCACCTCCTGATGGCTCATAAGCCCTTTCACATCCTGCAGGAGGCCACTCCTCTGTTCTCTCTCCTTTCCCTCCTCAGAACTCTCTAGTCTCCCGGTACTTATACATGTGTTTATTCTGGGAGACACATACAGCCACTGTCTTCCCTAATGTTACAAGTATATGGGTGTAATTTTCATGGAATTAAAGAAGCTTCACAAAGCTTTGAATTCTAAGACTAAAGAAAATATAATGTTTAGAAAAGGAGCTAAGTGGCTTTCACTTTTGATTTATTTACCCAAATCACAGTATCTAGCTGTGTGCACGCCAGGGCTGCTGACACTGCCAGCCATACCAATAGAAGAAGTCTCTACAGGACCACAGCTTGGGCTGCTCTGCCTTCTGAGAACCTGAGGAGCTCTGTTCTCTGAATCAGGGCAACGTTTTACGGTTGATGACCTTTCTTCATCTGGGAGGTTGTCTTCAGGGTAACTGTTTATCCTTGGCTAGTAATAAGAAAATAAAAACGTTACTTTAAAAATCTGGATAAAAAGTTAACAGTTATCGTTAGGTAGCAAAGACTTCAGAGGGAAGCGGATGAACCTCTTCTTCATTCTGTGCAGTTCCATACACTGGGTTAAATGAGCAAGAGTTGAGTTAAATCTCCCTACTCAGCTAAAAACTTGCCTCGTGGTTTTTAATCAGCCTCAGTCCACAACTGATACAATTTTGATTAAAAAAAAAAATAAAGCTATGTAAACAATCCACAGAACATTCAGTAAGCAGCAGCAAATGAGGAACATGACTTCATGGAGCAAGACCCTACTGCCATGTCTCAGCAATAGCTGATAACGATAAATGATGAACTCTCTAGCTCCCCTTCATTCAAATGTTTTTGCAAATGAGCAATAACCAATTTTTGCCTTTTCCTAATAGGGATTACAAAGATTCTATTTCTCATGAAATTTTCCTTACTATATATTTTAAATCTCCGTATATCCCCCTTGAAGAAAACTGTATTCCTCTAAAATATCTTCTAGTGAATTCTGAATAAACTTGACAGAATTATTTTGAAGCTTAATTACTTAAACAAGGATTTATGGTTTAAAAGTAGCTCACCTTCGGAGGCAGAGGGGGTGGTACTGCTCGTTTTGAGGTTGATCTAATACAAAGAGAAAAAATGCAATTTAGACAGTAACAAATGACATCCCATAACAAATGACAAATATAAAACAGAGACACTATTAAATATGCATTAAATCTTTTTATAATATCAAAGATAATAAGACAAATAGAACATGATGCAGAGTGTAATACTTTTAGGAAGACCAAAGACCTCATATTGTCAAACTATATTAGCAAAACCATAAAAGAAATTTTTATAAAGTAGTTAAGTCTTTTTTATTTTACAATTATGCTCTACTACATTTAATAAAAAATAAATTTACTAATAGAAAACAGATTCAGATTTTTAGAGTTAGAAACCATGGATTAAAGGAGGCACTTTTTTTCTAAATAGGTCTTATTTATTTATTTATTTGAGAAGCAGAGTTACAGACAGAGAGAGGAAGAGACAGACAGAGAGGTCTTCCATCTGCTGGTTCACTCCCCAAATGGCTGGGCTGATCCAAAGACAGGAGCTTTTTTGGGGTCTCCCATGTGGGTGCAGGGGCCCAGGCACGCAGGCCATCCTCTGCTGCTTTCCCAGGCACATCAGCAGGGGGCTGGATTGGAAGAGGAGCAGCTGGGACATGAACTAGTGCCCCTATGGGATACCGGCACCACTGGAGGAGGTTTAGCCTACTACGGACACAGTGCCAGTCCCAGGCTCTATTATTAAATCCTTTGCTATTCAAAGTATGGTCCCAGCAACACTGGCATGGCCCAGGAACTTTATTTATTTAAAGATTTTATTTATTTGAGAGGTAGTTATAGACAGTGAGAGGGAGAGACAGAGAGAAAGGTCTTCCTTCCATTGGTTCACCCCTGAAATGGCTGCAACAGCTGGAGCTGTGCCGATCCGAAGCCAGGAGTCAGGAGCTTCTTCCTGGTCTCCCATGTGGGTGCAGGGCCCAAGCACTTGGGCCATCCTCCACTGCCCTCCCGGGCCACAGCAGAGAGTTGGGCTGGAAGAGGAGCACCCGGGACTAGAACAGGTGTCCATATTTCGGGATGCCAATGCTGCAGGCAAGGATTAACCTACTGTGCCACAGTGCCGGCCCCAGCCCCAGGAACTTTAAAAATGTACTATGTAGAAAAATGTACTCTGTATTAAATCAGAATCTCCCTTTTGTTGTTGTTGTTGTTATAAAAGAGATTTATTTATTTATTTGAAAGACAGTGTTACATCAAGGGAGGGAGGGAGGGAGGGAGGGAGGGAATGAATCAATCTTCCATCCTCTGGTTCACTTCCCCAAATGGCCGCAATGGCTAGGGCTGGACCCGGAGCCAGGAGCTTCATCTAGACCTCTCATGTGGGTGCAGGGGCCCAAGTATTTGGGTCATCTTCAGCAGCTTTCCTAGGCACATTAGCTGGGAGCTGAATCAGAAGTGAAGCAATCAGGACTGGAACTGGCACTTATATGGGATGCAGGCGCTGCAGGTGGCAGTTTAACCTGCTGCACCACAGCATAGGCCCCCTAGAACCTCCATTCTAACAAGTTCCCCAGGTGACCAACAGGCATATCAGAGTTTGAGAAGCAGTGAATTCAGCCTAGCCCAGTGGTCCCACACACATTCACAGTCATTGCAATCACTTGAGAAGCTTCCACAGTTCTTAGATTCCTTTCTCTGTAAGGGGCCACGGGTAAAAATTGTAGGATGTGTGATATACCGTGGTCGCAACTCTACAACTCTGCTGTTCTGGCATGAAAGCAGCTATAAAAAATACATAAATTAATAAGCATGGTTGTGTCCCAACAAACCTTTACTTACATACACTGATTAAAATTTCAAATACTTCTCATGTGTAGCAAAAATATTGTTCTTTTGATTTTTTCAACCATTAAAAACACAAAAACATCATTCTTAGAGCATGGTGTGTATAAAAATAAGGAGGAGGCCAGTTCTGGTCCACAGGCCATAGTTTGCCAATCCTGCACCTATAGCTTAATGCTAGAACCCAAAGATCTGTATTTCCAGAGTTATCTAGGCTACTGCAATGCACAAACAGGTTACAAACAACTCATGGAAGCCAGCCAGAACTTTTGAGGGAAGACAGGTCTAGAATGTACTGGTTTTCTAACTCCTATTGAGGTATTTTTTTTGTCCATGATATCACATGATTCATCTTTCAGTATATCATCATATATATTCAAATTAAAAAAACAAAAACCACAAATCTTAACGATCAACACATGATGCTTTCTACATTGACAACATAGTACAACTTTTTTAAGAATGAAAATTAAAGATTAATTTAAAAAACACTTCAAAACTGTTCTTATGTATTAATTAAAATAAAGTTATTAAATCAGAAAACAACTTACTTGCCAGTATTTGCACCATCAACAAAAGGATTCCACTTTAATATAAAATTTGGGTCTGATGACACTCCCTGTGAAGAGAAAAAATGTGGTTTAAAATGCTATTTCTAACAACAAAAAACCAGAAAAGTTACTCCATAACAACTTTTATTTGGTTCAAGGAAATATTCCACTGTAATGACTGTTAATCATCTTGTATTCAATCAGTTTTTGAATCTCCAGCTAGCTTTGCTTTGTCATGTGACCTATTTAGGTCAATGACTCATTATCAGTTGACAACAAAAACTTCAGAAATTCCATAAACATACTAAATGTAGCTTCAAATGTGACAAGCCCTCTTTACCAATATGCTAGTGTTTTCCAAAGCAAAAGAGAAAACAATAATGTAATATTAATAGCATCACTACCCCATTAGTAAGGAGAACTAAATAGCTTATTATTAAATTATCATTTACTTATTGGTGCACAACTTTTGTCTATAAGTATGGAAACTGAAGACTTCATACTCAGTGACATATAGAGTAAGAAGAGCACTAATTCTAAATAAGGGAGAAGAGATACAGTAATCAGAAGACAGATAGTCTAAAAATCATATAAATAAAATAGATGTTAATATGACTTCCACACTGATTCTAAAGTCTTGCTTTATTTATTCTTTTCTTTCACATTATCTCAAAATAAGTGCAATTTTTTAAAAAGCTGTATTAACAAAACATTTTTTAAAAATATAAGGCAATGCAGGGATACAGAATGTACTGCAAACTTAACAGAATTACTAAGAGAAAAGGCCCTGAGAACTTGAAGCTTATGCTTATCCATGCAGCTCATAACTTCAGGGAAATGCAGACTGAGAAGGGTCAAATGAAAGGCTGACATACTGTGCCACTGTGTGGCCTAGTCAAAATATGCCTAAACTATTTCAAACTGTAATGTGAGAGGTACATTATCAAAATTAATGCTTATATGGTATATTACTTTGTTCTGTCGTCAAAGTATACTTAATTCTAAGCTTTCTCCAATTCCAATGTGAATATACTTAAAAAAACTCACAATTCTTACCATTTCATCGCGTGCTTCTGTTTCCTTCCGCAGAGGAGGTTCAAATTGTAACTTATCAACTGCAACATATAGAACAGATATTTACAAAATCAGCATGTTAAAGACTTCATCTCAGGATTTCTACAAGAAGGTTCTGTAAGGGGGCAGCAAGGGACCCATGAGAAGAAAAGAAAGAGACCACAAAGTCTCCTATGTTTTAACTACAAGAGTGCTCCTTTTTACTTATCCAAAGAAAATAATCTGGGACCTTCCTAACATCGTTACCTAATTCTTGGTTGTAATCAGGAAATTAAACAGTACTTTTTGTGTAAGAGATTTTTAAAAACTTAATTAGAAGTAGATGACTAGAAAAATTAAGTATTTTCTCTACATTGCAAACTCTGTTTTGAGATTAATTTAAGCTATAGCTTCTTAGGATAAATGAACCAAAAATAAATTACCTGTAAACTATCTAAATGAACAAATTATTTCTGTCAAATTAACTGTCACAATGCTGTTCAGGAATCTATTTGGCCTAGTAAGATTGATTTCAGAATAATTATTCCAAATAAAAAAAAAGAGTATCTTCTTTTACATGAAATATTCTAAAACAGAGAAAAGGATAATTTATTACCTACTCATAAAGCACAGAGAATTTTAAAAATTTTAAATTCTAAAATCCAATGTGACAGAAAGGTCAAGGAAATTTCTATACACTCATACTTGCATCAGAGATGCAAAATTCCCATATACAGTCTTAGCAAAGCAAGCAAAATACATTTAAAAAGCATTTAAGGAAAACTGTATTATCCTTACCCCTAAAAAAAATTTGCGCAGAATATAAAGTACTGGTGTAATTCATGATATTAAACAGAAACAGTAAGTTATAAACTTTTTAATTAAAGGTTAGAAGACATCTCATAAAATATAGAGTACATTGTAATTCAGAAAGAACCATTTTATTCTTTTGAGATAGAGAAACTTTGTTTTAGCATTAGAAATACTGGCAAGCAGGTCTAGAGATGCTTTATAAAAGGCACTAGTATGGCAAAAATTATCACTTGAATAATAAGAATTTAATATCTGGTAAATTTAGAGACTTACAAAGGTAAGGAGGCCTTCTATATCCTGATTAAACTCCCAACATGGTAAGATTCTAGCTACGATTAAGTACCAGGAATCAGAGTTACCTTTCTGCCATAAACAACCACATCCATGTAATACAAATGTGTATGTGCTTGTGTGTATGTCTGCATATATATAAACTATATGAAGCAAGTGTTTGGCCTGTGATTCTTGAGAGAAAGGAAATACATGGTAAGATCTATAGTCATGGCCGGCACCGTGGCTCACTAGGCTAATCCTTCCTTCGCCTTGCGGCGCCGGCACACTGGGTTCTAGTCCCCGTCAGGGCGCCGGATTCTGTCCTGGTTGCCCCTCTTCCAGGCCAGCTCTCTGCTGTGGCCCAGGGAGTGCAGTGGAGGATGTTCCAAGTGCTTGGGCCCTGCACCCCATGGGAGACCAGGATAAGTACCTGGCTCCTGCCATCGGATCAGCGTGGTGCGCCGGCCGCAGCGCGCCGGCCGCGGCGGCCATTGGAGGGTGAACCAATGGCAAAGGAAGACCTTTCTCTCTGTCTCTCTCTCTCACTGTCCACTCTGCCTGTCAAAGAAAAAAAAAATCTATAGTCATCCTAGCTTTCTGCATGGGGCACTGTACAAACTAGGAAACAGTAAAGTAGAAATCAGAGAGAGAGTCTCAATGGATGAAGGAAACAAAGATTAAAATTTGGGCAGTGCTTAGACAATGGGACATTAAAGGGCATGGCCTGAGAAATATGAATGTTGTACAAAAAAGGAATTCCAGAAATATGTAAAGGAGTCTCCTGTATCTTTAGCTGAATACCAAGAACGAAGCAAGCCTTTGTCAGACAACAACAAACACGAGCTTCTGGAGATCCCACAGCACGAGGAAAGATATCTGAGTTTCTATCCAGATGAAAGACTCTAGTAAAAACTTACACAAACCTTGAAAGGATCAAGTTGACTTATCAGGTGATTAACTCTTTAAACAAAGAGGACAAAATCTCAGAGACACAGATGTCAGAAACAGCAGCAGACAAGCACTTTAAAACAGCTATGATAAACACGTAAAAAGATTTAACAGAAAAAATGGACACAGCAAGTAAGCAGACAGGAAAGAACTAGAAACTGTGTGCATGATGAGGTGTATGTATGCGTGTGTATTTTATAGGACTGAAAGCCTACATCTGAAAAATACTGTATCTGAAATAAAATTCACTGGATAGGCTTAACAGCAGACTGAATACTACAGAAGAAAAGATTAGTGAACTTCTAATCAGGGCAAGAGAAATGAAATTGAAGCATAGAGAACAACGACAAACTTCTATGAATGAAAGTGGCAGAACAAAGCCCCAGTGACCTGTGACAAGTGGTCTAACGTGTAACTAGAGTCCCAGAATTCTAGAAGAGCCTGGCGCATAAATTCTGAAGAAAGAGCAGCCAAACACTTCCCAAATTTGATAAAAAATCAATCCACAGATCTAAGAAACAAAATGTACCCCAGATAGACTATGGCTACACATACTGCAGTCAAATTATTAAAAAAAAAAAACAAACACAAAACCCACAAAAGTTTCATATTATAGTACCTTGTACCTTAAAAATTTTAAGTTTAATTCATGGATTGGGTTATAATCTGAAGCCTCAAAAACTGGTAAAGGGAACAGGTATTTAGTCTATTGGTACATACTCATGTCTCACATTGGGGTACCTGCGTCTGATGCCCAGCTACTCTGCTAATGCAGATCCTGGGAGACAACAGTGATGGCTCGAATACTGGCTCCCTGTTACCCATGTAGGCGACTTGGCTTGAGTTACTGCTTTCCTGCTTGGGCCTGGCCCAGCCCTGGCTGTTGTGAATATTTGGGAAGTGAACATGCAGATCAGAGATGTTTCTCTATCAAATAAGTAAAATTTTTGAAAAATTTAAAATATTGACAGAGGAACATATGGGTAGGCAATACTGCAGATGTTTTTTCATAAATAGTTTTTCTCTCAACAAAGGCTTTTATTTGGTAATTATGTATTATATATATATTTAGTTCTAGTGTGTAGAAAGCTTGACAAAAATCCTCAATTTTAAGTGGCAAAAAAAAAAAAAAAAAAAGTTCCCTGAGTTGTGTTTCCTGAGAAATCTCTAATTGTATCTCCAAGATGCACTCACTCACTTTCCTTGAATTGTTACCAAGGAAATTTGTAGGATAATGTACCTTACAATCTCCACTGCCTGTGACACCTCGGTATGATTTTAAAAACTAAACCATTTAATCATTACATATAAAATGTCCTGACAAAATCAGAATAGTTTTGAAATTTAAACTAGTTAAACTTTCAAAAATGCTTAAACTTCCTCAGACTTAAGTTTTCTGTTTTCACTTTTCCTTACCCTGAATAACACTGAAGTCAACACCTCTGGAGCCCACTGGACTCAATGAAGCAAAACTAGAGCATCCCATGTATCTGGGAATTTTGCCCTCACCTACTCTTTGCACATTTACTGTAGGTACACAGCTAGACTCTTGTACTACACTGCTTTACCTTCAAACAGGTCCAAGAAGCATTTCCACCGAGATGACCTCAACGTGATTTAATATGCAGACTGTCTTGGAAAACTGCCCTCTGATCCCGATAAAGAGAATCTTGCCAGCTACTGTTAGTGGTAAGCCAGGGTACCAATCTCTGTATTCACGTCTCTCAGAGAGACACACAACCAATCATGTCACGGGAATAGTGACCCAGCAGAATACCTCAAATCAGAGATGACCAGGAATCTGAGAAGCATGTGACTACAAAGGAACACAGCTTCCACCCAACTACTGGACCAAGCCCATGACCACAGGAAGTGGAACATCTGCCCTCAGCCCATGGGACTAGATGAGCAGAGCTACTGTCATACTTTAATCTGCACACTACAGTATGTATTCTATTTGCTCAACCACATTTCTACCCCTTCTTTACCAGTTGAAGATACTGGACTGACAGACACTTGATATTTCTTAACTATGGTACTTGTAGATTCCCTGTTTTTAATATTGCTTTTTTGTAGGGGAGGCCAGCATTGTGTCACAGCTGGTTAACTGCTGCTTGCAATGATGATTTCCCATATAGGAGTGCTGATTCAGGTACAGGCTGCTCTGCTCCGATCCAGCTCCCTGCTACTGTGCCTGGGAAAGCAGCAGCAGATGGTCCAAGTGCCTGGGCCACCGCCACCTGCATGGCAGACCTGGATGGAGTTCCAGGGCCCTGGTTTGGCCTGGCCCAGCCCTGGCCTTGTGGCTTTTTGGGGAAAGAACCAGCGGATGGAGGGTCTCCCACTGTGTCTCTCCACTTCTCTGTCATTCTGCCTTTCAAATAAATTAATTAAAATAATAGTGCTCATGGGAGTCTTCGTCAGTCCTTGGTATGAGTTCAACACCTGGTTGAAATTTACTCATGGCCGGCGCCACGGCTAATCCTCCGCCTGCGGCACCGGCACATCGGGTTCTAGTCCCCGGTCGGGGCGCCGGATTCTGTCCCGGTTGCCCCTCTTCCAGGCCAGCTCTCTGCTGTGGCCAGGGAGTGCAGTGGAGGATGACCCAAGTCCTTGGGCCCTGCACCCCATGGGAGACCAGGAGAAGCACCTGGCTCCTGCCATCGGATCATCACGGTGCGCCAGCCTCAGCGCGCTGGCCGCGGCGGCCATTGGAGGGTGAACCAACGGCAAAAGGAAGACCTTTCTCTCTCTGTGTCTCTCTCTCACTGTCCACTCTGCCTGTCCAAAAAAAAAAAATAAAAAAAAAAAATAAAAACTAAAAAAAAATTTACTCACAACTTAGCAAAAATTATCTAATTAAATCAAATGTATTTGCACTCACATTTTCTTTTTTTTTTTTTTTTTTAAGATTTTATTTATTTATTTGAGAGGTAGAGTTACAGACAGTGAGAGGGAGAGACAGAAAGGTCTTCCTTCCGTTGGTTCACACCCAAGTGGCTGCTACAGCCGGCGCTGCACCGATCCGAAGCCAGGAGCCAGGTGCTTCTCCTGGTCTCCCATGCAGGTGCTGGGCCCAAGCACTTAGGCCATCCTCCACTGCCCTCCCAGGCCTCAGCAGAGAGCTGGACTGGAAGAGGAGCAACCGGGACTAGAACCCGGAGCCCATATGGGATGTTGGCGCTGCAGGTAGAGGATTAACCAAGAGAGCCATGGCGCCGGCCCCGCACTCACATTTTCTGTGGTTACCTACCAACTTCCTTTGGTGCCAATTTCTTGTTACTAGCTTCCTAGGTAATTGGACTGATCATGAATTGACTTCAGATGACAAACAAATTGTTAAAATTAGGTAATTTAGCTGATGTACTCAAATTTGGATCAGAGAGCAAATAGAGAAATCTGCCCTGCCATTCATCAGGCTTGGGGGGACAGATGAAAACCCAACTGAAAATGAACAAGAAAACGTTTCTCCCAAGGATATTCTACACATGTGAAGTTTCGTATAATGAGCCCCTGAGCTATACTGCTATCTTACTGAGAAACTCATGCTCTAGAATTACAGAGTGCCAGAAACTTTGCTGTTGTATGCAATCATATTCATCAGAATGAATCATTCTGTTCTAGCCTGGAAGACTTAAGTCACTGACCCAGAGAAGCAGACTCAATTTCCAACCCAGACGTAAAGCTTCAGAGGAAGACATTTATGAATCTGACATTCCAAGTTTCCAAAGAAACACATTTCTGTGTCCACTTTTACAGCACAAACCTGGTGTTCACCTCCTGCTATAAACATGGCTGCTTTGTTCAAGGTCATCACTTACATGTCACTGCAATGCCACTATTTGCAGCATGCTAGACCTCTTTTGCTGTATTTGCTGAGACGCTGGATGGTTCCTCTGGTGTGTGTTCTCCCTCACTGCAAGCAGTCAATAAACAAGGCCTTGCTGGACTACAAAGTTATTCCAGGTAGTCTTAGATTGAGTGGGCTCAATTCATAATAATTATATGTCTACCAAATACTATGTATATTTGACTATCAACAGAAGAATGCATAAATTGTGGTACAATCATGTGGTGGAATCTGTGACTATAATAAAAACAATGAACTGGTTATTGCTACATGTGACATGAAGGATTCTCACAGGCATTACTGAGCAAAGGTAACTAGGCATAAAATGTATCAGCCCACTTAGCTGAAGGTCAAGACTGGGTATAACACAATCTATGTTTAGAGACCACAGCAGTAATTAGCATGGGCAGGGTAGGGTTGGGAACTCTTGGAGTGGAAAGGTACTGACAGTGAAGCAGCATGAGGGAGCCGTCACAGATTCTGATCATGTCCCACCTCCGGTGCAGGGTGCTAGACACATGAGTGCATATGTATTTAGAAATTCATCATGCGTGTATTTCATATTTGAGTTTTTGACTATCTGTAAATAATCAGCTCAGTTTAAAAAACAAAGAAAAAAACAGAACTAATTGGAAATATACAAAGTCTATTAAACAAAAACAAAACAGTAAAATATTCCTAACAGATCCCAAAAAAGAGGTGTGAAAATTTAAAGATGGACAAATCAAGGGCTGGTGCTGTGGCGTAGCGGGTAAAGCCACCGCCCACAATGCCAGCATCCCATAGAAGCGCCAGTCCAAGTCCTGGCTGCTCCAGATCCGATCCAGCTCTCTGTTATGCCCTGGAAAGCAGTAGAAGATGGCTCAAGTCTTTGGGCGCCTGCACTTGCGTGGAAGACCTGAAAGAAGCTCCTGGCTTCAGCTCGGTGCACTTCCAGCCATTGCAGCTAATTGGGGAGTGAACCAGCATATGGAAGACCCCTTTCCCTCTCTCTCTCTCTGCCTCTCTGTGTTAACTCTTGACTTTCAAATAAATAAATCATCTTTTTTAAAAAATAAAGATGGACAAATCATCAATAAATTGACCTTCAACTCTACTACTTTCTGCCTGGTGTGTGAAACACACAGAGCTCCCTCTAAGATCATCAGTACATAGGGCACTTAAGGAAGAAACAAATCTTGAACTATTCGCTGAGAAAGTATTCTGTTTATGACTATCAGTCTTCTAAAGTTAATACATAAGTTTAATGAAATCTCAGTAAAAACATGGTTTCTTTTAAAATTAAGATTCTTAACTTTATGTGGAGGAAAAAATAGCATAGCATCATAATCAAAAAGATCAGCAACAAGGCATATATATATATCTGTACATGTACGTGCGTGTGCATATGTGTCTGTGTGTGTGTGTGTGTGTGTAGGCAGGGGCAGGGATTAGGGAGAGAATAGTCCTGCAAGACTCTAACAGATATTATAGAGATATAATTATCCAAAGTATGCTACTCCCACATGAACAGACAAAGGGTGCAGTGGAACACAATTTCCAGAAACAGTCCTGAAACTGAAGAGGAATTTAGTATATTGTGAAGACGGCACATGAAATTCCTGATTAGATTAAATCTTTGATGAACAGCACCAAGATAAACGGGTAGGTATCCAGAACGAAAATGAAGTCGAATACAGACTTTATACTTTCTACCACATATTTTAGACTAAAGATAAAAGCATTTTAAAAAATCAAACTACAAAAACAGAAGAAACAACAGAATACTTTTGTAACTTTGCAATCAAGAAAGCCTTGCTAAATATGACATAAAATTCAAAAGTTATCCAAGACAAGACAGGCAAGTTAGACTGTATTAACGGACTTCTACACAGCCGCATAAAATACGGAATACAGCTTTATAATGGAGTATCAACTTGGTCACTACTCTTCTCTCTAGTATTTGAGGCCCAGAGTCCTATTCAGATTGTAAAAGAAGGTAACTAAGAAAATACGAATTTGGGTGCTAACAAAGGCACTGTACCTTGAATTATTGGCTGAATCATAAAATGTACTAACTGAAACTAATATGATAAGGACATTCTAACACTGCAGCTGTATTTCTGAAGTTGTATCCAAAACGCTCAAGATATTTGAGTTTAAGAAAACTCAAACAAAATGCTCATCTGAAATAATTCTATTTAGCCCAAATATTTAATGAGTTATCTTCTCCCATTATGTTTTAAAATTTAATTTGTATTTTACTGGTTATATATCTTATTTTGCTATAAACCACTTTAAATCTCTTGAAACAAATATACATTTAGGTTAATAAACCTAACATATAAAACTTATTTCCAAATTTGTTTTTCTAAATTAATGTTGCAAGATCCAGCACTGTGGCACAGCAGGTTAAGCCTTTGCTTATGACACTGGCATCTCATGTCAGAAAAGCAGTTGGATTACTTGCTATTCTGCTTCTGATCCAGCTCCCTGCTAATGTGTCTGAGAAAGCAGTAGAAGATGGCCCAACCATCTGTCTCTACCATCCACGTGGGAGACATGGATGGAATCCCGGGCTCCTGGTTCTGGTTCTGGCCTGGCCCAGACCTGGCTACTGGCCTTTAGGGAAATGAACCAGGGATAGAAGAGGTTTTTTTCTGTCACTCTTTCAAATAAGTAAAAAATAAAAAAATCAATGCTGCTAAAGTGACAAATACTGATATAAAACTTTCATCTTCAGTGATTAGTTTATCAAATAAAAAATAAATTTCTTCTTTTAAATACTTTTAGAAAAGATTCATGTTAGTGTTGATCTGACTTAAAAAAAAAAAAAAAAAAAAAAAAACAAAAACCCTAAAACCAGTGTGGATGTTTGGCCTAGTCCTAAGATGCCCACATCTCGTATCAGAGTGCCTGGGTTCCACACCTGCCTCTAGCTCCTGAAACCATCTGCCAGCTGATGAACATACTGGGAGGCAACAGTGATGGGTCAAGTAACTAGGTTCCTGTCAATCTACTGAGAGACCTGGACTGTGTTCCTAGTTCCTCACGTCAGCCCAGGCCCAGTACTTGTTGTTACTAGCATTGGGGGAGTTAAATTTTCAGAAATAATTTATAAAAATTATAAGTAATTTATAAAAATTGAAACCAATGTAAACGCCCAACAAGAGGGAACTACTTATCAATTAATAAAGCAGAATGCAATAAATATAACAGTTAATGGTTATGCTAACATATAGAAAATATTTCTATATGAAGTAAAATTTTATGTATAAATTCATCCACATAAAAATATACATGGAAAAACATAAAGGAAATCTGGCAAAAGATATCAACTATGGGTTTGCTCTGGGCAAGGCAATCATATGCAATGCTAATTTTCTATTTTTTTCTTATTGCAAATGTTTTGCAATGAATACCATCATTTTCTTAAGTAAAAAATAAAAAGCATTCAAAAATTGTAAATCATGGGCATTATATCTAGAAGAGAAAAGCAAGTCCTATTTTAGAAGTATTTCATATGTTAAAATATGTAGCCTCAATCAGTATCAAATTTTATTATTCCATAAGAAGTACAATACCCAGCTCAACCCTCCAAAACCAACAATGGAAAACGTACACCAAACACATACAATTTATTTCTGAAGCTGTCCGTTCAGCTCTGGCATTCCTGTTTGTAGATCTAATGGTATGACGAATGATTGCATGGGGCTGTGAATATAAGCATAATACACGCACTTTAAAAAATTTCAACGATAAAGTTAAAAGATAAAATTTTCTTTTTAATTGTTACCATTTATTAATGATTATCTGTTAAATTTTGAGATAAACATAAAACAAATACAATGAACAGTAAGATGCTTTAATATTAATCCATGCTTACACTTGCAAAATATTGAAGGGTTTCAAAAAAATAAGACATATTCTCCATGCCTCAAAGAGGTGGACTACGTCTGGGAAGATAAGACAAGCACATACTAAAAAAAAATAGGAAATGGTAAAGTGCCGCTCATTAAGATAAATGGATTACTAGGGAGAAATGATTTTACAGTGAGGACTATAAAAGTTCTTCACCAAAGAGCTGTACTCTCATCTGGGGCCTTAATGCGCAAGTTAAGTATTGGATATGCAGAAATGTGAGAAAGCATTCTAAACATGAGAAAGAACACAGAGTGATGGAAGAAATAAAGAAAAGCAGGGAGTCTTCAGAGGAAGTGAACTGTTTATTATTTGGCTACAGCGAAGACAAAGCTGGCAGACAGACGGAGGTGCGCCAGATCATGAAACATTCTGAATGCCAGGCCAGGGCTCTCCATTTTATTTCTTTGGCAGAAAAAAAATTTTGGAGCAAAAAATTTGCTCCAAGGGAGCAAGGGAGTGGCATCACCACAGTTACTTTAAGAGTACTCTGATTAGCATATAAAAGAGTAGGGAAGGGACAAATACTGGATGCAGGGAGACTGAGTAAGAAATGTAAGTCAAGAATGAAGTTTACTGTCTCCACAGTCTCATGTAAGTGCCTGCTCCGGTGAAGCTATGCCTTCAGCTTGACCTCTGTCTACCAAATTTCTCATGACTCTCATTCACTGATGGCTTAAAAGTGGCTCACGTGTGTTTTTTCCACTACTTCAAGACCCAACTATCATTTCAATGGACTTCAAAAGCTCAGGTCCAATGTTCTAGACTTGTTTCCCGACCTAATCTCTGAAGACATTCTCACATGCTTCACCCCACCCTGCATGCCTGTAATCACACCTGGAACCAATCATGAGCTCTGATACACAAATTTACCTACACTCTAAAAGCCTGAGGCCTTGTGTTCATAATCTCACTTATTCCAATTACTGTTTCCCAAAAAGACTTATTTATTTGAAAGGCAGAGACGGGGGGAGGGGGGTGGGGTGGTGGTATATTCCACCTACTGGTTCACTTCCCGAATTGCCACAACAGCCAAGGCTGGGCCAGGCCAACACCAGGAGCCTGGAAGTCCATCAGGGTCTCCCTCGTGGGTGGCAAGGGCCCAAGTACCACCTCCTGCTGCTTTCCTAGGTGCATTAGCATGGAGCTGGATGGGCAGTGGAGCAGCTGGGAACTGACCCGGCACTCCAACATGGGATGCCAGCATTGCAAACTGCAGCTTAACCTGCTACACTACAATTCTGGCCCCCTCCAATAATATTTTTAAGGTTTATTTTATTTGAAAGGCAGAGTGACAGAAAAAGACACATAGAGAAACGGATTTTCCATCCACTGGTTTACTCCTCAAATGACCAGGGTTGGTCCAGGCTGAAACCAGGTGTCCAAAACTCCATCTGGTTCTCCCATGTAGGTGGGCAATCTTCTGCTTTCCCAGGGCATTATCAAGGAATGGGATCAGAACAGTGGGACCTGGGCTGGCATGCCGATATGGGATGTCAGTGTCATAGGAGGTAGCTTAATCCACTGCCTCACGATAATGGCCCTATTCTCAATCACTCGTTTAATGTTCTTCTTGGAATATCAAGTCCACCAATCCACTACTTCCTCACTCTCCATATGCTTCCTGCCTATCTTCACTTTTCTCCCTACAGAGTTTTAATCTGTTACTCCAAAATTTCAAGCAATCTGTTAATGGTATTTTAAAATTCCTTAGCCTCATGTTCCCCAGCACCCTTACATAACAGATTGTCAACCCTGGATGGATTCAACCTGTGTGTTTACATGTGAGGTATGAATCACTACTGGAGGAAAAGTACATGCAGAACATCCTGAGAATTCATTTCATTTGAGCCCAATCCTTCTCTAGTCACAGACAGCCACGGACGGTCAGAGACCTTCTCTCATCAGTTAACCCACGCACAGCTCCCAATTACGGTTTTAAACCTTCTCCACGCTCATCATATCTACCTATTTTCTTTTCAGGAGATGACCTGGCCACTTACTTCACAGAACAGAAATTACTAGCCACACTATCAGTGAAGCTCCTTTCTTTTATTTATTTATTTATTTTTTTTAGATTCACTTATTTTACTTGTAAGGAGTTAGAGAGAGGCAGAGGCAGAGGCAGAGGCAGAGAGAGAGACAATCTTCCATCTGCTGGTTCATTCCCCAAATGGCCAAGAGGGCTGGAACTGGGCTGGTCTGAAGCCAGGAGCTTCTTCTGGGTCTCCCACATGGATGCAGGGACCGAAGCACTTGGGCCATCTTCTACTGCTTTCCCAGGCACATTAGCAGGGAAGCTGGATAGGAAGTGGAGCAGCTGGGACTCAAAGCGGCACACATATGGGATGCCGGTGCCGCAGGCAGTGGCTTAACCTGCTCTGCCACAGTGCCAGCCCCAGGGATGCTCCTTTCGGATGCAAGAGAACGGTTACTTTATCCAAGATCTAGCCCCTTATCATATTCTACATTCTACCCTCCACTTTCTTCTTAAGAGCTCTCTCCATCTTGCTCTCTGTAAGCATTCAATCCTGTTTTAAGCTTCTCCTTGCAAAAAACATAAAAAGAAGGAAATAAAACCCAGTGCAACTCATTCTCCCCAGCTACTGCTCTACCCTGCACCTCCTTCACAATTATTTTTAATAAAAACTACTGTACTTACCTTTCAAATCCCTCCAACCTAGCTTCTCTTCCATTACTTGAAAATTATCCTTGTCAAAGTCATCAAATACTATCACCTAAATCCAAAGATGACAATAACTTTAACTTAACTCCTAGGCTGTATTCTCAACAAAAATCTCTTTCCTATGTTTCTTACTAATTTTTTGTTAGTTCCTTTTTGCTTGCCTGACCTTTAAATTTTGGGGAAAATCTCAGGATGCTGTCCCAGGCTTGTTTTTACTGGCATCCATCTACCTCTTAAGGCATTAACTACATCCATATTCAGCGACTCTCAATTCTGTATTTCTGGTCCAAACTTTTCTTCCCATGCTACAACCACACACCTAACTCCTTACTAGACTTCTCCACTTGGGACTCTTGGGCAATACTGTTTTCAGTATAAAACTGAAGTCTTGTTTCTTTCCAAATCTGACTTCCTCTAGTGTGCTTATCTCAGTCAATAGTTATCTATCCAGCTGCTCAAGTCCAGATCTGCTCGTCAATTCTTTCCTCACCCCTTACTCCCAGGTCTTCATCCAATCATCAGTTCTCTCCTAAAATCTGTCAGTCAGTCCATTTTTCTTTATCCTTGCACTGTAGTCTCAACAATCAATATCTCTATCCTGGTTAACTTTGGGAGTGTTAACAGGTGTTCAGTAATGGATTCACTATTCTGACATTTGCAAAAACAATGGACATCTGACTATGTTACTCCCTTACCCTTAACTGGCTTCAAACTGCCTTTAGGCTGAAGTCCAATCTTTCAAACACTGTTAGAGAGCCAGTGTCTAGCTGTGTAACCTCATCTTCTACCACTTCCTTCCCTGTTTTCTGCTCTAGCCAGACTTGATTCTCCATTACAAGAACACCCACCTTCTCTCTTATCACCAGGCTTTCAGACATGCTATTACTCTACTCAGAACACTCGCTCGTGCTTTCTTCCTGTAATTCCAGTTTTCAGCTTAAACATCACTTCTACAGTGAGTCCTTTTCTAGCCCTATAAAATGTCTTACAGTACCCTGGACTCCCCATTCCACAAGAACCATCATGGAAGTTCTGTGATACTATTCTTCAGTTCCCTTTGAGACTTTAGAAGCTCTGTCAAGGCACGGATGGTGCCAGTCTCATTCACCAGCGTGTCCCCCAACTGCCTGGCACAATGTTTTCCATTTCAAGGACTGACAAAAAGAAGAGAATTCAGAAAGTAGGGGAATTTCAGAAGCACAGCCAAAATGGTATGAGGACAAAAGAGGGGTTTACTTAACTATATAACCAGTAAAAGACTAACTGGGGAAGCAAATGATATCTAGTTCTACAATTATGCTCTAATAGTTTTAATAATTTTTGAATATTTAAGGGGTTAAAATTCTATTTATTAACCCCAAATTTGCAAATAATGTTTCAAGTAGAAAAAAAATCTGAGTTATTACTGTTTAATATCTTAAAATTCATTTAACATCCAACAAAATATTCATGCAGTACTTAACAACATTACAGAATTATGCTATCCACTAGGCAATGGGAAACAAAAATTAGTTTTTACAGATCATCTACTGGTGATTTTTTTAAGTCCTTAAACAGAAATGATGGGGTGTTAACTAAAGGGAATAGGCTCTGGAGTTAGCTTCCCTGGATCTAAAATCCTGGTCCCACCACAGACGAGTGGGAAAACTGCTTCCATTCTTTGCCCCTTGTTTTCTCATCTGCATACAAGATATAGTAATGATTGTGCATAGTACAAATGACAACTTGAGTATTAGATGGGTTAACATGGAAATAATTTAGTCTAATACTTGCCATGTAACACATGCTGAATGAGTGTTAGTAGTGAAATATGTATAATTTAAAACTTTACGAATGTGAAATAGAAAACTATTTAAAAAATAATAATGATCAACACATATACTTTAGTTCTATATTACTGCCAGAAGTGAAGGTAGAGATATAAAGGTAAATTAAGGTATAAAGAGACAAATCCAGATAAATACAAACAAAAAAGAATTATAAAAGGAGAGGAAGAGAAAAAAGAAGAGAAAGAGACACTGGTGAAAAAAGCACAGCTGTGTTGAGTATTTTATATGTGTAGGTAAAAACAGATACCTGCCAATGAGCAGTTAAGCTCCTCATTTCTGATTTAAAAGTATAGTTATATATAATATATTCAAAATAATTCTGCAATATTTTCAGAGAAGGTATGTATACTTACGAACAGATTTATAACTAATTATATACAAAATCATCGTTTTGAGAAAGTATTGGAAAGGGTAAAAATTTCCAGTGGGAACTTCAACTGAATTTTAAAAAATTATTTGTATTCTGTTATCAATCTACAGAAGAGAACTATAAAAATGATTAATTTGGTGTCTAAGGAGTCTCTTTTGTGAGAAATGTTATGCACATATGCTGTGGCTTTTTCTTAAGCTAAAAACCAATGTTATTAAAATGTTTATTTCCTTGAAAACAGAAGTCCTTTATACACATCCTGTAGACAGATACAACCTGTTTCAATCTCAGCTACCGCTTAAACACTTCAGGTAAATCAAACTAAGAGATCATATTGGGAAAAACTAATCCTAGTTCTATAGAAACTAGGTTTAAAAGTATCAACCAGTTATATTACAATAAAAAAGCATCAGCTGGCAATTACAGGCAGGTTAAATAAAATTTACAGAGCTAATTAATCTCTGTAGCTAAATGTACTTCAACTAAATTGAAAGTAAGAAAACATGTTCTATAGCTGTATTAAACATTTGCTTACAAACATTAAACTGCAAACCCTTTATTACCTCAAAGTCATCATCATCTCCTTCAGTATAATGTGCATGGTTGTCTGGATTGTTCACTTTATCCAACAGTTCAACTGCTAATGCCCTAGAGAGACCTGGCTGTCCGACAAACGTATGCTAGGTAAAAACAAAACAAAACAAAATTTCATGAGTATGCCTTTAAATCTCTGCCTTATAGGAAATGTTCCATGCACTTGTCATTTGTTAACTAGCAAAGACAAGCCTATGGGACCCTACCAATTTAAATGGGGGAATATATTAGTAAAAAATACTCATCACAGAATCTATATATGATAAACTGAAGAAGCTTTATTTAGGTTAAGTTTTAAACATGAATAATTTCTCTAAATAAAGTTAGGTACTCTTTATTAGGCTGTAAAATTACAACTTGGACTTCCCTGACAATATTCATTATTCATGTCATTATGCTGCCATGCAAATGAATACTGTGATACAGTCCATTATCACAATAAGAAAATAAATGTATATTTTACACTGTACGCATTTAATTTAGTAAAACCATGTTAACGCACAGGATATATGATTATTATGACATTTTAAAAAGCTTTCTTGTGCTGGGTTGTAATCACTGACTATATTAATTATAAAAATATACACATAGAGCATTCCATAAATTTACACAGAAGCCAGGAAAAGCATTAATTTTAGGTTAGAGCAACATTTTTAAGAGTTTTCTCTTAGGCAGGAGTCAGCAAACTATAGCCCAAGGCTGCTACACTGCTTCCTTTTGTAATTAAAGCTTTATTGGGTATTAAAATTATACCTATGCATGTATATTATCTAAGGTTTTTGTGCTACAATGGCACAACTGAGTAGTTCTTACAAAGTGAAACATGTTTACTACCTGGCCCCTTACACAAAGTTTGCTAACTCCTGCTAGAAGAGATCATTAACATATTTATATTAAACCATTTAAATACTTTTATTCTAGTGATATGTCTAATTACTGTACAACTATAATCCCTCTACAATCTCTGTAATTTCAATGACTTACTGTCAGAAGTCTTTCAGCAGTTGGTCTTTTTTTTGGGTTTTTGGTTAGTGCTATTTTGACAAAATTATGGAAAGTTGATGACCTTCAAATAAAGAGAGATATGTACAGAAATTTCACTAATATTAGTTTCTTGGTGTTATAAATAAAATGAACTTAAAAGCAGTTAGAAATACATGATTTTTTTCTTATGCTTTTTAGTTTTATATAAACCAAAAACTAAACCCAACACACAGTATATTTTTTGGTAACATCTGGGTTAGTTTTGTCTCTAAAGTACACTGCAATGTACATTATATAGTAATATAATATACTGTATAATACAACCTCTAAAATTACCCTAACATCTAGAAATGGGTAGGCTGTGTCACTTATACAATTTATGATCGTCTTTTCTAGGTACCATTTAGGGGTCAGAATGTCCTTTCCTCACTGCCTCACTTACACAGTGTATGCATGTCTTGTTATACTGACAGAGCTGGATGGCATGGTGGTAGTGTGGGTAACGAGAGCAATTTAAGCGTCCAACTGGGTTCTCCTGTCATCTGCATTCATGAAGGGGAAAGGGAGAAGACAGAACTTGAAAGAATTCTGTGCTGATTATTAATTAATGATGCAGGGATATTTCTATTACTGTCAAGAGTCCACTGCACTAGAGGCTGGACCAGAACCAAAGGGATGGAGCAAGTTCAGTGATCAGCAGTTCTCTGCAGAGAAATCAAACAGTGTGTTACCTTGGGTGTCTTACAACAGAGATAACACAGTACTGGAAACTGGCAAAGATTCTCCAGTGGTGGTAGTGAATGCTGGAATCTGCTAGCACTGTTTTCTAAGAGTTACCAATCACTAAATGGTATTCAGTCATTACTGCCATCAAGCCCTTCCATTCCAGATGGTTAGGAACTTAGGAAAACAGAGAATAGGAAGAAACCCATTCTTTTGTCAGAATTCAGGTAGCAGCAGTGAATAGAGCCCTCTCTTTCCAGTGTGATGTTCCTCTCACTTTTGGCATGATCCCCAGTACAGGTGGCTCCCACAGAAAACTATGCTCGGCCGGGCCACTGAAACACAAAGCAGTGGTTTAGAATCTGGCTCGGGGGAAGGGCCGCTTAGAGAACAGAATAGTCGACAGACTGTCTCAGTAGAAAAATGGCTACACGTATAGAATTTGGGAGGGGAGGCACTCTTGGATATACAAGGCATCCACATAATCTAGATGAAGAATTCTTGAATTTAAGAACCTGGAGACTTTCATTAGCTCAGTGTCTTTTATCAAATGTCTGAGGAAGATATTCCCTGAAAAACAATCTTCCATTTTTATACTTCAGTCACTGACATTTTTATGGACATGTACAGACAGGTAAGTTGCTTTTTTTTTTTTTTTTAAGAGAAAGAAGAGATTAGAATGAAAATGAATAACCTTCTTCAGTATTATGGAAGGAAGATAGAGAAAAATCAATGAAGAGAAATGGTAAGTGTCAAGTTATGTGGAAAGTATTTTCAAGTTATCACCTTTGTGAAAGTCAGTATATAATTAATGGAAGAAAAGGAACACAAGGCAAAACTAGGTGAGTCTCCAGAATCTTACTGTATTCACTTCCAATCTGTTCCTCACCATTCCTCTAACCCAAGCTGCCAACAAGCAAAGGAAACAACTTGAGTTTCACAAGAGCAGTGGATAATAAAAGAATACTGCCCAGAAAATAAACACACATCCTCATCATAGCTCTGCAAGTGAACCAGCTACACTGCTTGGGGAAAATTGCTTATTGCCTCTGCGCTTTGCTTTTGTAACCTATAACAAGGGGGACTGAACCTGTATCCCTTTCAAACTGTAAAATTCCATAAAACCATATACTCTTTAACTCACCATTTTGTTTTGTCCTTTAGTTTTGGTGGCTGAAAATTGCTCTTTGACATTAAGAAGAGAGCCCTGAAATAAAAATTTAAAGAATAGCAAAATATTTCTATTACTACAGTTAACAATCAGAATGAATATTCTGAAGCAAATTTATACAAGACTACACAGGCAGGCACTGAGAAAAACTGGGGTAAGGAAATTCAATTTTTACATTTTAAAGACTATTTTATTCATTCATCTATTTGAAACGCAGAATGACAGAGAAAGAGGGTGGGGCAGAGGGAGAGGGACAAAGCAGGATGGAAGAGAGGGGACAGAAGGAGAGACAGATCTTCCATTTGCTGGCTCACTCTCACAAACGTCCACAAAAGCCAGGTCTGGGTCAGGCTGAAGCCAGAATGCAGGAATGCCATCCTGGTTACCGACCTGAGTGTCAGGGGGACAAGTACCTGTACCATCTTCCGATGCTTTCCCAGGTGCATTAGCAGGGAGCCGGATCAGAAGTGGAGCAGCTGAGACCTGAACCAGTGCTCATATGAGATGCCTGCATAGCAGCTGACAGCCTAACCCACTACACACAATGCCGGCCTCACTGTTCTTTCTTTGTGTATGAGTCATGGAGGTTTTGATGTAGGTATTTTTTTTTTTTTTTGTCTTTTTTTCAGAGAGGTGGCAGTTTTGGCTCCTATCTTCTTTTCCTCTAGCTAGGAGTATCCTAAGGATTTTGCTATCTTCTCCTGAGCCAGCAACTTTACTCAGTTCCATTTTCCACTGCAAGGCAATGAATTCAGAGATTCCAGTGTTTTTTGGCCCTTTATTTCTTGGGTGTGTATTCGCCGTGGTACCCAGCAGGAGTTTCAGTATCTTCTGAATCTTTCAAAGCTCCCATTTCTATATCTACTGATGGCCTCTCCACAGAGTGAATACTGTCTAGATTAAAATAGAGTTGGTTTTCAAAATTTGAGACGCAAAAAGAAGAGGGCATGAGCACTTAAGAATGTGCTCCCATTCGCTCTTTCTCTCTACAAATGCCCATAAGGACCCCACGCTAGGCTGGGTGCTGAAGCTGGGAGCCAGGAACTCAATCTTGGTGGCTGATCACAATCGCTTCTTAGAGTCAACATCAGCTGCAAGCTGGAATCAGGAGCCAGAGGAGCCGGGTATTGAACCCAGGCACTCCAATATGGAACACAGGCATTTAACTCAGCACATTAACTGCTCGGCCAAATGCGCATCTCATACAATAGAATTTTTTAATGACCCATCATAATGACTAGCGACTGTCACAGAAGGTTATCATTCTTACCTTCACAGATGCTATCAAACTAAAACAGAGAATTTCCTTCTTTAACATACTAATAGTTGTTTTTAGCAAGTGATGTGAATGACTGTACTTGATGTAAATGACTGTACTTGAATGAAGAATAACCAAAGAAAAATACACTTAGGTTTTGAAGCATAAACATTACTACGCATTTGAAAACAACAAACATGAATCTGCCATCCAGCATTTTGGCTCCAGGTCCTCACCACACACACACTAATAGTAGACATCTTTTAACTTGTGTATCTTTGGTTGCTTATGAAGTCAAATAGTTTTCTATATATTTATTTAGTATCTGGTACTTGCTCATAAACTATCTTTGCCTGTAGTCTCTGAATGGGTTCCTTATGCAGTATATATTAATCCATCATTGATCTTATGTTAGAATACTTTCCTCATTCTGATGCCTCCTTTTTAACTTTATACAATTTATTTTAAAAGTTAGTATTTTAGCAGAATTTACCTCTTCATTCAAAATTTCGAAACTCGAGCCAGTGCTTTGGCGTAGCAGGTAAAGCTGCCACCTGCAGTGCCTGGCATCCCATATGGGCATTGGTTTGAGTCCTGGCTGCTCCACTTCCAATCCAGCTCTCTGCTATCTCCTGGGAAAGCAGTACAAGATGACCCAAGTCCTTGGGCCCCTGAACCTGCAAGGGAGTCCCAGAAGAAGCTCCTGGCTCCTGGCTTCAGATCAGCACAGCTCCATCCGTTATAAGGGAGTGAACCAGCGGATGGAAGACCCCCCCACCCTCCGCCTCTTCTTCTCTCTCTTTGTAACTCTTTCAAGTAAATACATAAATCTTTTAAAAAAAATTCAAAACTTTTTCAAGATGTCTCAAGTTTTTTTAGTAGGCCCTAAAATACAAATAATTGTATGAAACATGGGTATTTCTTCATTATCCGAAGTAAAAAGAAACAAAACCAAATGAGAGTATAAAAAAATCCTCATCTACATTCTACCATTTACTTGGAATTCTATGTGGAATAAAAAAGAAACAAGATCAAATGATGGCAGAATGAATGTCAAGACTCATAAGGACTTTTCTAAGGATAGTAACTGCTTTAGGCAGTATAGAAAACTCATGGTTTTAACAGTAGCAACACAAGGGAGCAGGTTTAAGGTGAGATTACCCTCTTAAAACACCTGTACATTATGATACAATTAAAAATGAGCTTGTAATACCCTCAGTTATCAGCATTTTACTTTACTCAGAGATATTAGTAACTGTATAATTGTAAACAATGAGAACACCTCATTGGATGAAGATCAAACATAGGTGGTTGAAGTTCTCCCAGTTCAATTGCTGTTATTCCCACTGCCCAGATATCACAGAGCTGGTTGTAGCCACCATTCTTCTCCACTGCTGCTACTTCTGGGGCCATCCTAGTAGGAACAATGAACACAGCATTTTTAGTTTTAAGAAAGTATATGAAATTCAGCACTTGTTAGATCACTAGAATCGTGGGAAGAAAGAGGGCTAAGAAGTGTTTAGTGAGACAAAAAAAACTTTAGTAAGAAAGGCTTAAGAAAATGTCACACACCCACATCAACACACTTAAAATGTGTCTTTCATTCCCTCCCTTGAATTGGGGTGCTCTGAGGAAACACTGTTGTTTTACCTCAGTCGGCGTTTTGCGAAGGTTGTCAGGCAGCAGGAGGAAAGAAAAGGCCTGAAAGTCTGTAAGGGTCAAAGAGACGCTCCAGAAGGAGACTTAGAGCATGAAGCCCAGAATGCTGGGGGAGGAGCTAGAGGAACCCAGGGGACAGGGTGGCGATGGGGCCACCAACTGCAGCCTGTCAGTCACTGCTAAGTACAGCAACTGCCAGCAAGCACTTACTCTCGTTCAAACGCCTGACCTTTTTTAAAATATCATTTTATAAAAACTAAGTCTGTGATGGACAGGAAATGGGGAAAAAAAAAGTCCTTTCAACAGACAGGTTGAGATGACCTACAAAGTGTTTGGAAAGTGAACCTCAAAAGTACAGGCAAAATCATGAATTACCTGATTATAGAAGGAAGTTTAGACTTTGAAGTAAAAATTACGGGCATCAACTGAAAGACTTAATTTGGGGGCAAAATTAACCTAGAACTCAAGACAGACAGTGTGAGGGACGGTGAAACCAGCTAGGCAGATGATGTGTTCGAGGACAATTTCAAAAACAAAGGGACAAAAGATAAAGGACTTCTAAAAGGCTGCGGCAGAGGGAACAGAAGGAAGAGAGTTGATTAAGATATTAGAGTTTGAAACGCTGCGGATATTAAAGTAGAGCTACTGTCAAGCAACTATTGACTATATAGAAGAACCACTGTATATGGAAGACAGAAGCTCAATTGAGTAGCTAAGACGGAGTTACCTATCTGGGTCCCTGTGATGCATAATACTGGCATATTAAATTATAAAATATAGATACAGGAAATATGTTACCTTTTAACATTCACTTTTATTATTTTTTTTTATTTTTTTAAATTTTTTGACAGGTAGAGTGGACAGTGAGAGAGAGACAGAGAGAAATGTCTTCCTTTGCCGTTGGTTCACCCTCCAATGGCCGCCGCGGCCGGCGTGCTGTGGCCGGCGCACTGCGCTGATCCGATGGCAGGAGCCAGGTACTTATCCTGGTCTCCCATGGGTGCAGGGCCCAAGGACTTGGGCCATCCTCCACTGCACTCCCTGGCCACAGCAGAGAGCTGGCCTGGAAGAGGGGCAACCGGGACAGAATCCGGCGTCCTGACCAGGACTAGAACCCGGTATGCCGGTGCCGCAAGGTGGAGGATTAGCCTAGTGAGCTGCGGCGCCGGCCAACATTCACTTTTTTTTTTTTTTTAGATAGCATTAGTTTATTATAAAAGAGACATGGAAATTATTTACATGATGAAAAGATTTCAGAACTTCAATGGAATGGGAAGCTTCATGTGATGCTGTTTCAGAGATCTCAGTCTACATATTTTCCAAGGATGTCACCATCTCTAAATAGAAAATAATCCTTGTCGTCTAGAACTACTTTAGTGCCTCCATATTCTGGAAGAAGAACTTTATCTCCAACTTTCACACTAACTGGTTGAATCTCTCCACCCTTTCCTTTAGAGCCTGATCCAACAGCTACTACCGTTGCTTGCAATACTTTTCCTTGAGATTTTTCAGGGAGCATAATGCCTCCTTTGGTTACTGTTTCCGCAGCGCTCCTTTCCACCAAGACGCGGTCAAAGAGCGGAAGAAACTTCCTAAATGGCTGTCCTGCCATGGCCCCAGCGCCGCAGCTTTCCAACATTCACTTTTTAAAATTAATTAATTGTATCTTAAAAGTTGCTTTAATATACACTCACGTTACAAAATTTTACATTAACATATTGTTTCTCAAGTGTGTCTAATGATATTAAATGTAAATAATAAAAATGTTAATACATACTATATGCAAAGGGCTATATACATAAAAATGAGTATAAGAGCACAGAGAAGAAAAATTATTACTACAGAGCAAAATGATTGAAGTCGAATTTCACAGAGGAAAGTGGCTGAGATGGAGCTCAGAAAAAGCCAAGGGGTTTCATTTCCTGTCTAGTAGAGTAGCAGTGGTGGCTAACTGGAATGCCAAGCTGACCAGTACTGCTGCAGTTCCTGGCTCAGTGGGAAACTGAGCTGTGACCACTCAGTCTGCCACAGGAAGAATGGGAGCATGGTAGGACTTAAGATAAATACAGGAAAATGGTATCCTAGCTAAGTGGTGAGAGAATAAGAAATGGACAGTTTTAAAAATGATTTAAGTCTGCAGCATTGGCATTCCATATGGGCGCCAGTTTGAGTCCCACTTGCTCCACTTCTTATCCAGCTCTCTGGTCATGCGCCTGGGAAAGCAGTAGATGGTGGCTCAAGTCCTTGAGACCCTGCACCCATGTAGGAGACCTGGAAGAAGCTCCTGGCTCCTGGCTCCTGGCTTTGGCCTGGCCCGGCCCCAGTCTTCTAGCCATTTGGGAAGTGAACCAGCAGATGGAGATTGGTCTCTCTCTCCTTCTGTCTCTAACTCTGCCTTTCAAATAAATAAATTTTCAAAAACTATTTCATAATCCATTTGCAAGCCAGTTCCTTTCCTTTTTTTAAAAAAAAAAAAAGGTTTATTTATTTATTTGAAAGGCAGAGTTATAGAGCGGCAGAGGGAGAGAGAGAAATATCTTTCACTAGCTGGTTTATTCCTCAAATGGCTGCAACAGCTGGAGTATAGGGACCCACACACTTTGGTCATTTCTGCTGCTTTCCCAGGTCATAGCGAGAGCTGGATAAGAAGTGGAGCAGCCGGGACTCAAACTAGAGGACATATGGGACGCTGGTACTGCAGGCGGAGACTTTACTTACTACGCCACAGTGCTGGCCCCAAATAAATTTTTCAAGTGATTTGTTTATCTGAAAGGTGGAGAGACAGAGAAACAGTTCTTCTGTCCACTGGTTCACTTCCCAAAATGGCTGCAAAGGCTGGGGCTTTTCAAGGCAGAGGCCAGAAAATCCATCAGGCTCTGTCCCATGAGTGGTAGCAGCCCAAGAAAGTGAGCCATCTTCCAGTCCCTCCCCAGGCACATAAACAGGGAGCTGGATTGCAAGGCAGAGCTGCTCCAGAACTCAAACCAGTGCTAGGATATGGCATGTGGGTCTCCTAAGCTGCATGTTAACCCACTGGGCCACAATGCTGGTCCCAGAGCAGACAATTTTCACTAGAAAAGAAAGTCCACAAGGGAAGACAGTCACAGTATCAAGCACTACCAAGGGAATTTGGTGAGAAACTTTCATTTACCTTTTATATTTACTTTTATTTTATTTTTAAAATTTTAAAAAGATTTATTTATTTGAAAGGCAGAGTTAGAAAGAGAGAAAGGGCGAGGGGAAAGGGAGATCTTCCAGAAGCGTCATCAAGGTCTCCCAGGTGGGTGCAGGGCCCTGAGCACTTGCACCATCTTCCAATGCTTTTCCCAGGCCATTAGTAGGGAACTGGATTGGAAGTGGAGCAGCTGGCACATGAACTGGCGCCCATATGGGATGCAGTACCCCCAGGTGGCTGCTTAGCCTGCTATGCCACAATGCTGGCCCCTTTCATTTTGAGAGGTGAGAGGGGGAGAAGGAGAGACACACAGGGAGGAAAGAAGAGGGCAAGGGGAGAGCTAGAGAGGAGAGAATGACAGAGACAGAGTTTTTTTTTTTTTTTGACAGGCAGAGTGGACAGTGAGAGAGAGAGAGAGAGAGAGAGAGAGAGAGAGAGAGAGAGAAAGGTCTTCCTTTAGCTATTGGTTCATCCTCCAATGGCTGCCGTGGCCGGCACATTGTGCTGATTCGAAGCCAGGAGCCAGGTGCTTCTCCTGGTCTCCCATGGGGTGCAGGGCCCAAGGACTTGGGCCATCTTCCACTGCACTCCCTGGCCACAGCAGAGAGCTGGCCTGGAAGAGGGGCAACCGGGACAGAATCCAGTGCCCCGACCAGGACTAGAACCCAACCCAGTGTGGCGGCGCCGTAGGCGGAGGATTAGCCTATTGAGCCGCGGTGGTGGCCAAGACAGAGATCTTTTATCTGCTGGTTCACTCCCCATATGCCTGCAACAGCCAGGGCTGGAACAGGCTAAAGTTAGGAGCCTAGAACTCAATCATCCAGGTTTCCCATGTGGTTGTCAGTAAAGTTAACACCTTGACAGTAGGGACTCCGTTTCAGAGCACCCAAGAGTACATCTTGAGAAAGCACCCCCCTGTCGTGAGACTCTGGTATGAAACTATTCTCTAACAGCATACTGCATCCCTTTTGCAGAACAGAGAAACTCCCTAGCATGACTGCTCAAGCTTAAAACAGATAGGCTGCACCTGGTTAATGGTACGATTGTAATTTGTCTATCAAGATTGTAATTGATATTAGTTTTGCATAGGCCTTAGGTCAGCCTGACCCTAGTAACCACGTATTCCCTCTCACCTCCTTATGGTTTTTGCCTTTATAAACCCTGTTGCTTTGAGCTTCGGGGTCAAGACTGCCAAATTTGATCAATGTGTGGTGCTCCTCTGTTTGCACAACATCAGGAACTCAACTACCTGAGCCATTATCTGTTGCTTCCCAGGGTGCATTAGCAGGAAGCTAGGTCAGAAGTAGAGGAGGGGCTGGTGCCGTGGCTCACTTGGCTAATCCCCTGCCTGCGGCGCCGGCATCCCATATGGACACCGGGTTCTAGTCCCGGTTGCTCCTCTTCCAGTCCAGCTCTCTGCTGTGGCCCGGGAGGGCAGTGGAGGATGGCCCAAGTGCTTGGGCCCTGCACCCCACGGGAGACCAGGAGGAAGCACCTGGCTCCTGGCTTCGGATTGGCACAGCGTCAGCCATAGTGGCCATTTGGGGAGCGAACTAATGGAAGGAAGACCTTTCTCTTTTTCTTTCTCTCTCTCACCGTCTATAACCTTGTCAAATAAAAAAAATAAAAAAAAGTAGAGGAGCTGGGATCTGAACCAGGCACTCTGAAACAGGATGCAGTCATTTTAATAGCTGTAACAAATGCTCTTACTAAAAATACTAAGCATTGACTGTAAGAATTTGGAATGCAGGAAAAAGAATGGAAGAAATGAATGCTTAAAAGAGACCATCATTCCACCTATTTTTTTTCATACTTTTAAACACACACTTTTTTTATGTATGGTATTATCCTGTGTACATTACCTTTAATCTTGCTTTTTTGATCAAAAATATATCATGAGCTTATCTACTGCCCATTCATCTTTTACAACATAATTTTTAATGCCAGAATATTTTTCCATTGACTTGAATAGATGTGTGAAATTTCCTTAACTAATTCCTGGTATGTATTATTTTCCCTCAATTTTGTTATTATTAAAATAGCACAGGGTGGACATTTGGCCTACTGGTTAAGATGCCGGTTAAGATGCCTGCACCCTACACTGGAGTGCTCGGGCTCCCAGTTGTAACTTTCCACCAATGAAGATTCTGGGAGGTAGCACTGATGGCTCAAGTAATTGTTTCCTGCTACCCTCATGGGAGACCTGTACTGTGTTTCTGGTCCCCATCTCTGACCCTAGCCTAGCCCTGGCTGTTGCAGTCATTTGAGGAGTTAAGCCAGAGGATGGGAGCTCTTTGTGTCTGCCTCTCAAATATGTTTAAAAAAAAAAAAATCGGGATAAAGCTTTTCATATATAAATCTGAATGTGTCTCTAATACAGTACTACAAATTGAATCACTGGGATTAAAGGGTATAAACACTGCTTATGGTTTTTCAAAAATGTTATAAAATTATTCTTCATAATTGTTCTATCAATTGCATTTTCACTATCAAATATTTACTAAAGGGATTCATGATTCCAAATATTTTCCAATTTTATAGAAAAGAATGTCACTGTTTATGGAATTTGTATTTTTTCAAGGGAAATATTTTTGTATTTTGGCATATATATTAATTATATTTATATTATAAATATTATTCAATAGTATATGATTAATATATTATAAATATAATTATTTATATTAATATCTTAATAACTTTCTAATTACATTCTTTTCATAAGAACCGTAATTAAAGCTATTAAACCTAGGTTGGCATATTTTAGCTGTCATTTTCTAGTTTTTTACTTGCCTCTTAATTTTAAGCTGGTGGGCAAATACAAGCTTTAAATTTTCATGCAGCTAAATCTATCAATCTTTTCCTTTATGGTTTCATGCTTTTAAATGCCATGAAAGGCTTCCTCCTTCCTCTTACAGTAGGTAGTTACTTAGAGTTCTTGATTTTACTCGGAGTTTTTGATTCCACTTTTTTTTTTGAAAGATAGAGTCAGACAGTGAGAGAGACAGAGAGAAAGGTCTTCCTTCCGTTGGTTCACCCCCCAAATGGCTGCTAAGGCTGGCGCGCTGCGCCGATCTGCAGCCAGGAACCAGGTGGTTCCTCCTGGTCTCCCATGCGGGTGCAGGACCCAAGCACTTGGGCCATCCTCCACTGCCTTCCCGGGCCACAGCAGGAAGCTGGGCTGGAAGAGGAGCAACTGGGACTAGAACCAGCGCCCATATGAGATGCCGGCGCCGCAGGCAGAGGATTAACCAAGTGAGCCATGGCGCTGGCCCTTGATTCCACTTTTGTATTTAATTATTTCCGTAAGTATTTCAGCATTAGGTATGAAGTAGGGGGCAACTTTAGACATCTTTTCAAATAGTAAGTTATTCAAACATTGTATATTGAATAGTCTAACCTTTCACATAAACTTTAAATGTCATCTTTTATAACATTCATTAAGCTATCACACTAAGTTTATTACTAGGTTTTCTATTGTATTCCAATTATTTGTCTATCAACAACAAAAGCAGTGTTTTATAAAGAATATTTTGTCAGTAATTGGCAGGATTCCCTAGAAGTGGGGTGGCTGGTACAGACTAACGAGAGGTAGAATGTATGAAATTCTTTTAGATTTTTATTTATTTGAAAGGCAGAGTGACAGAGACATAGAAAGATCTTCCATCTGCTCATTCGCTCCCCAAATAGCTGCAACAGTCAGGGTTGGGCCAGGAGCCCTGAACTCCATGTTGGTCTTCCACGTTGGTAGCAGGGGCCAAGTACTAGGGCTATCTTTCACTGCTTTCCCGGGCACATTAGCAGGGAGCTGGATCAGAAGTAGAGCAGCTGGGACTTAAATAGGCACTCCAATAAGGGATATCTGCACTGGAGGTGGTGCCTTAACACCCTGCACAATACCAGGCCCAAATGTATTAATTTTTAACAACCAGAAAGTTAAGTACTAGATTAAAATAAAGGCAATAACAGAAGAAAGGCTAAGAAAATTAAGAAAGATAATACAAGTCTGTCTTTTGATATTTTCCTATCTATAAATTCTCTCATTAGAAGCTTCTAGAGACAGCAAAAATCATTTGCACTTTGGGGCTGGCTGGCTGGCACCCCATAGGAGTACCAGTTCAAATCTGGCTTCTTCACTTTTGATCCAGCTCCCTGCTAATGCACCTGGGAAGACAGTAGGACATGTCCCAAGTACTTGGATCCCTGTCACCCATCTGGCAGACTCAGATGGAGTTCTAGGTTCCTTGCCTCAACCTGGCCCAGCCCCAGCTGTTGCAGCCATTTGGGGAGTGAACCAGCAGATGAAAGGTACTTCTCTCTCTGTCTCTTCCTCTCTTTCTGTAATGATGCTTTTCAAACAATAAAATAAATGTCTTTAAAAAATGAAATCATTAGTGTTTTAGGGAAAGTTGGACTATGTCAGTATTAAGGTACTGTGGGGAGCAACTTGGACTAGACTAAGTTACTGGAATTAAGACTTATTCTATGCATCTGCTCTCCCACAATATGGCGCTGGGAGAGGAGGAAACAGCTTCTACACAGCTGCCTCCAGTTCAACCAATAAACTGTAGGACTTGCTCCTGATTGGAGGAGAGCAGCGTACTCGGCGTGTGGGCAGCCGAGTTGGGATTGGCAGAGGAGGACTATAAAGGAGGAGAGAGACAACATGCACCAGGAACATCTAAGGGGAACATCTAAGGGGAACACCTGTGCAGCCCCCGAGAGAGCCGGCCGGCGGTGTGCCACTCCCCTGCGGAAGTGGGGAAAGTGGCCAGGGGGAACCGCCCTTCCACGGAGGTGGAAGGGACAGTAGCCAACCCGGGAAGAACCAGCAGCAAACCCGGGGAGGGCCGAGCAGACAAAAGAACAGCGCAGGGTCCTGTGTTGTTCCTCCACGAAGAGGGGGAGCGACAAGGTACATGCAAATTTCCTGACACTCAATTATCACTTTGCTCACTAACCATGAAATGAAATTCAATGGCAGTGATTTCTTACCAATAAGGGGTGCCAATGAAAGATTTTCTCTTTGCAATGGTTGCTGTTATTTTTGCAGCCACACCAAAGTCAGCTGATAAGGAAAAAAACAGAACAGAACATTTTAGTTCTCTATATTCAATATAAAAGTATTTTAAGTTTCACCCTCAGGCACAGCATTATAATTTAGACATTAATATTAAGGAAATACATAAATTGAGTAACTAAATCTCCTCTTGTTTGGCTCATAACATTATTTAAAAGAAAAGAATGTATTAACATGTTATTTGAATGAAACCAGACCTTATTAAGAACAAAGTTAACAAAAAATTTTTTATTATACACATATTAACTCAGGAAATAAAAAAGCAAAGAATAAAATCATGGAGAAAACACACAACTGGATTCCTTTTATCCTAATACAACAATGTTAATATATTGGCACTATTTTTTAAAAGGTCTTTTTTCTATGTATAACTTTTATCATTACACATTATTATAAAAACCTAATACATCTTTTATCATTTAACACAAAGGAGATTTCAAACTCACATATTCTTCACAAGTACTAATGATTAAATATTCCATAAGTAGAGTTACCACAGCTTAACAGTTTTCTATTGCTAGTCTTATGTGTGCATTTTTCTCTATTATAATAATACTTTTGTGAATATGGATTTTCTATCTTTAGGACTAATTTCCTTAAACTGAGGCTCAGGAGTAAAATACTACGTCAAAAGGTAACCTTAACTATGACTATTGATTTGAATTTATATCTGTTAATTCTCATTTAAATTGAAACGTTTTTGAAAAATTTTAAGGAACTTGAAATAACATACCTAATTTTACATCACCATGGTCTGTCAACAGAATATTTGCACCCTAAAAGAAAAGCACATATACTATTAAATTAGCATAATAAAATTTTTTCCAATAGGGTTAACAATTAAGTTAACTTACTTTGATATCTCTATGCATCTTGCCTTTGGTATGCAAATAAGCAAGACCCTGAAGTTAAAAAAAAAAGTATACATTAGCAAAACAGCAAACAAGACTCCTAATTATTATACTAATTATTATATTTAAATTCTTATTCAGTAAGAAATGTGTCTTTTTCTGTAGGGTGTGGGGGTAACTCAGAAGAATTTCATTTTAATAATCATTGCTTTCTATATCTTAAAGATTTCTAAATCATCTCCTGGCAAAAATAAGAAATATTTTATAAAATATTAACAGCATAATCTAGATAAGGAACGTATCTATCATCCCCAGAAGTTCCCTTATGCACTACCCCTTTATAATTCCCTCCCTTCTTTCCAGCAAACACTGACTGACTGCTTTCTATCATTCTAGATCAGGCTTTCAAAGTTGCTCCACTATTCTAGGTACATTTTATATTTTCATAGGAATTTTAGAATTAGCTTCTCAATTTCCTTAAAAAAAAAAAAAAAGAATGTTTGGATTTTAGAATTTCATTAAATCTATATTTAGTGAAATATTTTGGCAGAATTAACATGGTAACAAAACTGAGTCTTTTGATCCACGAAAATGGTTATTTTCCATTTATTTACATCTTAACTTTCTGGCAGTTTTATAGTTTTCAGTATGCAGGTGTTTATGCACCTTCTATCTTATTTATTCCTAAAAACATCATACTTTTCGTATTATTGTAAGTACTCTTTTAAATAGAATTTTGACTTTTGACTTATTATACAGAAATCCAACTGATCTGTGTACACTGATCTTGAATCTTGCAACCTTACTAGCTTCATTATTTCTAATAGCTATTTTATAGATTGCATTTCATTTCCTATATAAATAATTATGTGGTCTGTGAACAGAAAACAATTCTACTCCCTAACATTTCCAAATTAGATGCCTTTTATTTCATTGTTTTCTCATTTTGCACCAGCCAAAGCCTCTAGTATACTGAAAACAGGCAGTAAGAGCAAACATCCTTAGTTTGATTCTGGGGGAAAAAGGATGCAATCTTTTACCACTAAGAACTACCTGGTTTGTCTTGGGTGTTCTATGAGTTGAACGGTTTGTTTTTTTTTTTTTAGCTTTAATATGTTCAGAATTTTTTTTTAGGAATCAATACTGGATTTTTTATAGAAAACTTTTATTTAATAAATACAAATATCGAAAGCACAACTTTTGGATTATAGCTGTTCTTCCTCCAATAACCATCCTCCTACTTGCAAACCATCCTATCTCCTACTCCCTCTCCCATCCCATTCTTCATTAAGATTCATTTTTAATTATCTTTATATACAGGAGATCAACTTTATACTAAGTAAAGATTTCAACAGTTTGCACTCACACAGACACACAAAGTATAGAATACTATTTGAAGATCAGTTTTACCATTAATTCTCATAGTACAACACATTAAGGACAGAGATCCTACATGAAGAACAAGTGCACAGTGACTCTTGTTGATTTAACAACTGACACTCTTATTTATAATCACCTGAGGCTCTTGTCATGAGCTGCCAAGGCTATGGAAGCCTCTTGAGTCCACAAACTCCAACCTTATTTAGACAAGTCCATAATCAAAGTGGAAGTTCTCTTCTCCCTTCTCAATACTGGATTTTGCTAAGTGTTATTACTGTGTCTATTTAGATGATCATGTGGTCTTTCTTTAGATTAATCAATGACTTAAAAGGTTTTATTTATTTGAAAAACAGAGACAGAAAGGGAGAGAAATCTCTTTCGCTGGCTCAGTCTCCAAATGCCCACAACAGCCAGGAGTGGGTCAGGCCAAAGTCAGGAGATAGGAACTCAGTCCAAGTCTCTCATATAGGTGGCAGGGACCTAACAATTTGAGCCATCACCTGCTACCTCCAAGTGCACATTAGCAGAAAGCTGAAGTTGGGAATGGAGCTAGGACTTGACCCCAGGCACTCCACAACGGGATGTGGGTGTTCCAAGTGGCATCTTAACAACTATACCGCACTCTCACCCCTAAAATGATTTTTGAATGTTAAACCAATATTACAGTGTAGGATAAGTAATCTTTGTTTGTGGTACCCTTTTTATCTATTATGGGGTTACCTTTGTTAAATTTTTGGTTTTCTTTTAAATTTTTGCATGTGTACTTATAAATACCTGTAGATGATAGTTATGTTCTACTGTAGTAATTTCTGACTTTGGTATCAGAATAATGCTGACTCATGATTTGCAAGGCAATCTCTGTTCTTTAACTTTCTGGAGGAGTCTGTGCAGAACTGGCATTATTTCTTCCTTAACTGTTTGGTAGCATTTACCTTATAACATCAACTCTGTCCTGGTGCCCCTTTGTCCACATCTCATGTTGGTTACATGCATCTTTTCTCTTTTTGTCTTGACTGACATGGTTACAAGTTTATCTATTTCACTCATCAGATTGTGGTTTCATTGACAGTCTCTACTGTTTCTCTGCTTTATATTTCATTGGTTTCTACTCAGTCCATTTCTCTAGTTATTGTGTTCATCTTTTTCTGTTTCTTTTTTTAAAAGATTTATTTATTTGAAGGAGACTGTTATGTAGAGAGGAAAAGAGAGGGGATAGAAAAGAGAGAGAGAAGATAGAAGAGAGAGACAGAGGAGAGGAGAGAGAGGAGAGAGAGGAGAGAGAGGAGAGAGAGAAGAGAGAGAGAGAGAGAGAGAGAGAGAGAGATCTTCCATTCATTGATTCACTCCCCAAATGACCACAGCGCCCAGGGCTGGGCCAGGCCAAAACCAACTTTCACCTAAGGCTTTCCTTAGCTTTGTAAACAGGGGGTTCAAGACTACTACACCTCACCATTGTATTATCCCCAAAGCACGACAACACATATGAACAATTAATTTATGTGACTCATTCAAGAAAGAAATAACCAATTTCATCGAATTATACATGAGAGGTTAACAGAAAAATCATTTTGGTTTGTCCGTTCTCTTTTAGGCACCATTCCATAGTTAAAACTGTGAAACTAAAATCACCTTTCTATTTATGTAAGTGGATGTAATACCTGTAAGGTTTCTCTGCACACATAGGCTATCTGTAATTCTGACAATGGTCCAGTAACTAAGGAGAGAAACAGACCACACTGTTAGACATTTAAATATAACAGATTAAAAAGTCTATTTTAAAAATGACAATTAAAAGATTTCTGTACTATCACTGGATAAATTCTGACCATGAGCATGCATTATTTATATAATCAAGAAATAGACAAAAAAAGGTAACATTGAAAATTTTAAAATGTACTTTTAAAATAAAAGATTTACTTCCATAATAACTTTGACCAATAAAATATTAAGCACCCACTGTGTTCAAGGCACAGTATCAGGCATCATAGGAAATTCTACAGAAAGCAATGGACAAGATCTCATTCTCAGTTTTTCAAATATAAAACAAACAAAAAACATGGATAAACATATGCATCTAATTACAGCTACACAGAGAAGCCGTGAATCATAAAAAGATTCATTACTGAAATATACTGGCATTATACACTTTTGTAAAGGTGAAGATATTAATTCTTTAACACCTCTATCAAATTAGTGAGACTTGATTGAGTACTTAATCTAATAATTCAGAAATTAATTAAAATAAAATTCATTCCTTGCAAGCAAGTCTCTCCATAATATGAAAATATAAAATCTTTCTTATGTGAGTACACAAAACTATGTGTTCAATACCATGAGAGAAAATCTAGGATGGTAGATGCTAACAGTGAAACCCAATCAGGGACTTCTATATAATCTTTAGTAGCAAAATATTTTACTACACATTTTAATGACTAGCTATCTAAACTTACTCAAGAACACAAAATTTTTTATTTTTTTTAAAAGATCTACTTATTTCAAAAGAGTTATGGGGGGCAGGGCAGAGACCAAAAGAAAGAGAGGAGATCTTCCATTGGTTGATTCGCTCCCCAGATGGCCACAATGGACAGGACTGGGTGAGGCTGAAGCCAGGAGCCAGGAACATCATCTGAGTCTCCCACATGGGTGGCAGAGGCCCAAATATTTGGGCCATCTTCCACTGCTTTTTCCAAGCCGTTAGCAGGGAGCCGGATCCAAAGTGGAGCAGCAAGGACATGAACTAGCACCCACACGAGATGCTGGCATGGCAGGCAGTGGCTTTACCTGCTATACCACAATGCCAGCTCCCAAATTTTGATTCTTAGTGACTTGTTTGAATATCAGGAAAAAGGGGGAAGTCTTTATATTAATAGCATCTAATTTAAACATAAATATATATTATATATAATTATATATATTAGACGATTTATCTATTTGAAGGAAGAGTTACACAGAGAAAGGAGAGACAAAAAAGAGATATTCCATTTGCTGATTTACTCCCCAAACAGCTACATCAGCACAGTGCTGGGCCAGGCTGAAGCCAGGAGCTAGGAGCTTCATCCCAGTCTCCCATGCGAGCCAATTTCCAACTGTTTTCACAGTCACATTTGCAGGAAGCTAGATCCTAAGTAGAGCAGCTACCAGCACTAAATACAGCAGTTTAACTGACTGTGCCACAGAACCAGCTCTGTAAAGATATACATATATATACATATATATATATATTAAGATGTACTTATTTATTTGAAAGGCAGAGTTACAGAGAGGCAGAGGCAGAGAGAGAGAAAAGTCTTCCATCTGCTAGTTCACTCCCCAGATGGTTGGCAATAGCCAGAGCTGTGCCGATCAGAAGCCAGGAGCCAGGAGCTTCTTTTGGGTTCCTCTTGTGGGTGCAGGAGCCAAAGACTTGGGCCATCTTCTACTGCTTTTCTAGGTCACAGCAGAGAGCAGGACGGAAGTGAAGCAGCCAGGACGTGAACTGGCATCCATATGGGATGCTGGCACCACAGGCGATGACTTTACCTGCTACACCATAGTGCTGGCCCCAATATACATATATTCTTAATTGCTATGGTTTCTGGTGTACTGTTTGGGGGATGACTATTTCTCAGATTCAATTTAATTAAACAAATATGAGGTTGTAATGATGGAAAGCAAAAACTTTTTGAAGAAAAAAAATTCATGTCTCACATCAAACCTTTTGTTTAAAAAAATGCCAGCTTCTCAGTTCCATTTTATCTACATTCTAAAGAGTTCTACTTTTGTAAAACTGTGAATGGATAAAAATTGCAATTACTGGGGCCAGTGCTGTGGTACAGTAGGTTAAGTTGCTGCAGGCAGCACCAGCATCCCATATGGGTACTGGTTTGAGTCCCGGCTGCTCCACTTCTAATTCAGCTCCCTGCTGATGTACCTGGAATGGCAGTAAAGGATGGCCCAAGTGCTTGGGTCCCTGCACCCACACGGGAGACCTGAGGAAGCTCCTGGCTTCAGGTTGACTCAGCCCTGGCTGCTGTGGTCATCTGGAGAGTGAACCAGTGGATGGAAGATTCTCTCTCTCTCTCACTTATAACTCTGCCTTTCGAATAAAATCTTTTAAAAAATTTTAATTACTGAATTAAAATTTTTCATATAAAAGATTGTAATTCTCGGGGACGGTGTTACGACACAGGGTAAGCTACCACTTGGGATGCCTGCATTCCATATCAAAGTGCCAGTTTGGGTCCCAGGGCCTCAGCATTTGGTGCAGCCTCCTACAAAAGCATCCTGGGAGGCAACAGGTGATGGCTCAAATGCTTGGGTCTCTGCCACCCTGTAGGGGATCACATGGAGCTCTGAACTCCTCCTAGCTTTGGCCTGGACCAGCCCTGGCTGTTGCAGGCATTTTGGAAGTGAATCAGTGGAAGTAGGCGTGAACCAGGCACTCCGATACGGGATGCAGGAATCCCAGTGGTGCCTTACCAGTGCATCAAATGCCTACTCCTTCAATAGCATTTGTGTTGTTACATCCACCACGGCTGCATCTGTAAATTCTATGACCAAAATTTGACAACGCTTCCAATACAAAGCTTCAGGATGGAAATATTAAAAATATTTCACGTAATTTTAATAAACCATACAATGCCTATTTGCAATAGGAGTTTCACTCTCCCAGATCCATGTTAAACAAGTAAAAGACAAACTATTTTACGAAAATCTATGCCTAGTTCAAGAAATCCTGCAATTCAAGAATGTGTCAAAAAGGGGGCCGGCACTATGGTGCAGAGGGTTAAAGCCCTGGCCTGAAGTGCTGGCATACCCTATGGGCCCCGGTTCTAGTCCCGGCTGCTCCTCTTCTGATCCAGCTCTCTGCTATGGCCTGGGAAAGTAGTAGAAGATGGCCCAAGTCCTTGGGCTCCTGCACTCAACTAGGAGACCTGGAAGAAGCTCCTGGCTCCTGGCTTCAGATTGGCGCAGCTCTGGCTGTTGCGGCCACCTGTGGAGTGAACCAGCACATGGAAGACCTCTCTCTCTGTCTCTACCTCTCTCTGTAACTCTGTCTTTCAAATAAATAAAAATAAATCTTAAAAAAAAAAAAACATATGTTGTCCTGAAAGGTATTTCTATGGGCTAAAATCTACACCAAATCCTCCAAAGTTCTTTCAAAAAAAAAAAAAAGAATGTGTAGAAAAGAAAACAAATTAAAAGTTAAACTTACAACCAGAATAAAAAAAATTTTTTTTTTGGACAGGCAGAGTGGATAGTGAGAGAGAGAAAAAGGTCTTCCTTTGCCATTGGTTCACCCTCCAATGGCCGCTGCGGCCGGCACACCGTGCTGATCCGATGGCAGGAGCCAGGTGTTTCTCCTGGTCTCCCATGCGGGTGCAGGGCCCAAGCACTTGGGCCATCCTCCACTGCACTCCCTGGCCACAGCAGAGAGCTGGCCTGAAAGACGGGCAACCGGGACAGAATCCGGCGCCCCGACTGGGACTAGAACCGGGTGTGCCGGCGCCACTAGGTGGAGGATTAGCCTATTGAGCCGTGGCGCCGGCCTAAAATTGTTTCTAAATAGTACTATGAAGCAAAGTCAAATTCAACTCAGAAAAGTGCCTAAAATAACTGATTGCTAAATAAATTACTCTCAAATTATTTTCACAACTATACATTTTAATGTAAAATAGTAGCAAGTAAATTGCTTTTCTGGTAATGAGGTTCAACTATCAAAACAGACAATAAGTAAAGTATCCCTGGCACTTCAATACTTATTCACAAAGAACTTTAGGCAATTTCATTTGTAGATAAACGATTTTCCTAGAGACTACAACTAAAAAATAAAATTTGAACCATACAAATACTTTTGAATTTTTTACTTCAGGCTCAGACAAATTTAAATGGATAACCAATAAAAAATACAACTGAAATTTCTTCTATGCAGTACTCTAGAATACAAGACTGCAGAATTTCTCTATTAATTTACCTAGTTAAATGGAAATATCAAACAGAAATTATGAAAGTCGGGGTTGGGTTTAAAATAGAACATCACATTAACAGTACCATGATAAATATCTTGAAGTGATCCACCTCCGCAGTACTCCATGCAAATCCACAGTTTTTCCCGACTAAAATCAAAGAGAAAGAAAATAGTATTAGCTAGTAATTTCCAACCACTGAAATAAATGCTGCAAGGCTCTCACTCATCACCACAGTAAGATTTAGGACAGACTGCAAAGTGTAATAGAAAACTTTTATCGTAATCTCTCTGCAAAACACAGAAAACCACATTAAGTTCCGTTCTATTCCCAGCTTAAATGGTTTGTAGAGTTTGATCAGTTATGACTCTAATTATAATCATTAATAATGTTCATTAGGGTTACCAGATAAGATAATAACCATTACAAAGGTGTCCTTTATCAAAGTAAGATGGAAGAAAACCAGAAATTTGAGAACTCTGGACAACGTAATTTTAAAAATACATACCTTGTATAACAGCATGTACATGAAAATGAAACAAGAGTGCAGCAGAGAATAAAATACACATAGTGAGAGCAGATGTAGTTTGATTTTTACCTGAGATAGCTCCCAAAGTAGGCAACGATGTTACAATGTTTACATTCTTTAACCATAAATATTTCTTGTTGAATCAAAGAAAAATCATCTCCTGAAAAAACAAAATCAGTTTTGACTAGGTTATGCCAAATCTCTATATATGGGAAGAAGGAAGAAAAAATTTACAATAAATATTAGAGATAAGAACTAGGAATTCTTAATACATCAATGGAAATATAAATTGACACATTCTTTCTAAAAGTCAGAAGCCTTAAAAGTGTACAAATTCTTTGAACTCAGTTACCTTAAATTTTTTGCTTAAGGAGATAAGACAGATGTAGATGTTTACTACATTACATACTTTTTTTTTTTTTTTTGACAGGCAGAGTGGACAGTGAGAGAGAGAGAGAAAGGTCTTCCTTTGCCGTTGGTTCACCCTCCAATGGCCGCTGTGGCCAGCACACTATGGCCTGCGCATCGCGCTGATCCAAAGGCAGGAACCAGGTTCTTCTCCTGGTCTCCCATGTGGGTGCAGGGCCCAAGCACTTGGGCCATCCTCCACCGCACTCCCGGACCACAGCAGAGAGCTGGCCTGGAAGAGGGGCAACTGGGACAAAATCCGGCGCCCTGACCGGGACTAGAACCCGGTGTGCCAGCGCTGCAAGGCGGAGAATTAGCCTAGTGAGCAGCGGCGCTGGCCTTACATTACATACATTTTTTAAAAGATTTATTTATTTATTGAAAGTCAGAGTTACACAGAGAAGGAGAAGCAGAGAGAGAGAGAGGGAGGGAGGGAGGGAGGGTAGAGGGAGGGGTATTCCATCCGCTGGTTCAATCCCCAATTGGCCGCAATGACCGGAGTTGTGCCGATCTGAAGTCAGGAGCCAGGAGCCTCTTCCAGGTCTCCTACATGGGTGCAAGGGCCAAAGGACTTGGGCCATCTTCCACTGCTTTTCCAGGCCACAGCAGAGAGTTGGATCGGAAGTGGAGCAGCTGGGACTCGAACCGGCACCCATAAGGGATACTGGCACTGCATGTGGTGGCTTTACCCTCTACACCACAGCTCCAGCCCCTATATTTTAACAATGAATAAAGGGGTGGGGCCAGCGTTGTGGTATAGCTGATAAAGCTGTCGCCTGCAGTGCCAGCATCCCATGTGGGCACCGGTTTGAGTCCTGGGCGCTCCACTTCCGATCCACCTCTCTGCTGTGGCCTGGGAAAGCAGTGGAAGATGGCCCAAGTCCTTGGGCCCCTGTACCCATGTAGGAGTCCTGGAAGAGGCTCCTGGCTTTGGATCGGCACACCTCAGCCATTGTGGCCAATTGGGGAGTGAACCAGCGGATGGAAGACCTCTCTCTCTCTTTCTCTGCCTCTCTGTAACTGCCTTTCAAGTAAATAAATAAATCTTAAAAAAAAAATAATAGTAATAATGAAGGGGGCCAGGACTATTGCCTAGCGGGTAAAGCTCCCATGTGAGTGTCGATTCAAGTTCTGGCTCCTTCCCTTCTGATCCAGTTCTCTATTAATGCCTCGGAAAGCAGTAGAAGATGGTTCAAGTCCTTGGGTCCCTGCACCCGAGTGGGAGACTTGGAAGAAGCTCCTGGCTCCTGGCTCTAGTCTGCTCTAGCCCTAAACACTGGAGCCATTTGGGGAGTGAACCCAAAATGGGAAGACCTCTCCCTCTCTGTAACTCTGCCTTTCAAATAAATATAAGTAAATCATAAAAAAACAAACAAACAAAAAAAATGAATTGAGGGCTAAATACATTCTGGTATAGTTACAGATTAATACATTAAAAATGTGACAATGTCAAAATATGTTCATGATATATTTATGTGGAAAAAGGTACATCATATATGTTATTTAAGTATTTAAGTTATATAGGAAAAGTTTAAAAAAAAAAATGCAAGGGGCTGGTGCTGAGGCGTAGTGGGTAAAGCCACTGCCTGCAGTGCTGGCATCCCATATGGGCGCTAGTTCGAAGCCGGGCTGCACCACTTCTCATCCAGCTCTCTTCTGTGGCCTGGGAAAGCAGCAGAAGATGGCCCAAATCGCTGGGCCCCTGCACCACTGTGGGAAGACCCGGAGGAAGCTCCTGGCTTCGGATCAGTGCAGCTCCAGCTGTTGTGGCCAATTGGAGAGTGAACCAGCTGATGGAAGACCTCTTTCTCTCTTCTCTCTGCCTCTCCTGCTCTCTGTGTAACTCTAAGTTTCAAATAAATAAAATAAATCTTTTTAAAAAATACATGCAAATAAAACACACAATCTGAACTTAAAACAGTTATTCCTAGAGTCTGGGAGGGTGGGGAAGGAACAGATGGGGAGGTTGGACAATCAGCATCAACTGTAGCTGGGTGAAGGTGACGGTTCTGCGGTCCATAGCACAGAGGGATGATCACAGTACACAAGTGTGTTATGCTCTGTGGGAAGAATTAGAAGAGAGGAGCCGGTAGGCTCCAAGCACAAAGACAAGACAAGGAAACATCAAGGCTAACTGCCTGGCATGACTGGTTGACACTGTCTACATGTTGTGAAATACTGGACTGTACCCCATGAGAATGTTTAAGTATTACAGGTTAATCCAAAATTTCCTAAAAATTAATTTTAAAAATAAAACTTACAGTTAAGTTTCTATTTTACTGTATTGTTAAAGAACATGGTTTACTTATAAAATTACTATAGAGATTTATCAACAATTTACCTACTGTATAATTAGTTTTTGTAAATATTCCATGGATATTTGAAATAAATATGGATGCTGTGATGTGGAAATGAAGTATATAGTTATATATATTTCTTTTTCTTTTAAAGATTTATTTTATTTTTACATAAAAGTCAGAGTTAGAGAGAGAGAATGAGAGACAGAAAGAAGTCTTCCCGGCCGGTGCCGCGGCTCACTAGGCTAATCCTCTACCTAGCACTCCGGGTTCTAGTCCCGGTCGGGGTGCTGGATTCTGTCCCGGTTGCCCCTCTTCCAGGCCAGCTCTCTGCTGTGGCCAGGGAGTGCAGTGGAGGATGGCCCAAGTGCTTGGGCCCTGCACCCCATGGGAGACCAGGAGAAGCACCTGGCTCCTGCCATCAGATCAGCGCGGTGCGCCGGCCACAGCGCGCTGGCCGCAGCGAACATTGGAGGGTGAACCAATGGCAAAGGAAAACCTTTCTCTCTGTCTCTCTCTGTCCACTCTGCCTGTCAAAAGAAAAAAAAAAAAGAAAAAAAAAGAAGAAGGAGGGAGGGAGGGAGGGAGGGAGGGAGGGAGGGAGGGAAGGAAGGAAGGAAGGGAAGGAAGGAAGGAAGGAAGGAAGGAAGGAAGGAAGGAAGGAAGGGAGTCTTCCAGCCACTGGTTAAATCTCCAATGGTGGGAGCTAGGCTGCTCCAAAACCTAGAGCTAGGAACATCCTCTGAGTCTCCCATGTGGGTGCAGAGGCACAAGCATTTGGGCTGTCCTCTACTGTATTCCCAACAAGATCCGCAGAAAGCTGCATGGGAAGCAGAGTAGCATGGACTCAACCTGCGCCCACGTGGGGTGCCAGGACTGCAGGCTACAGCCTAACCTGCAGTGCCACAATCTGCTATGTAGGCCTGTGTATTTATGTGTATTTAAAACAAAACAGACACAATGATGAAGCCTGGGTGATAAAATGAAAAGTAATTGTACTCTCTCCCTTTTAACTTTTATTTAGTAAATATAAATTTCCAAAGTACAGTTTATGGATTACAATGGCTTTTTCCCCCCCATAACTTCCCTCTCACCCGCACCCCTCCCATCTCCCGCTCCCTCTCCCATTCCATTCACATCAAGATTCATTTTCAATTATCTATATATACAGAAGATCGATTTAGTATATATTAACATTTCATCAGTTTGAACCCACACAGAACATAAAGTGTAAAATACTGTTTGAGTACTAGTTATAGCATTAATTCACACTGAACAACACATTAAGGACAGAGATCCCACATGAGGAATAAGTACACAGTGACTGCTGTTGTTGACTTAACAATCTGACACTCTTGTTTATGGCATCAGTAATCTCCCTAGGCTCTAGTCATGAGTTGCCAAGGCTATGGAAGCCTTTTGAGTTTGCAGACTTCGATCTTATTTAGAAAAGGTCATAGTCAAAGTGGAAGGTCTCTACTCCCTTTAGAGAAAGGTACCTCCTTCTTTGATGGCCCGTTCTTTCTACTGGGATCTCACTCGCAGAGATCTTTCATTTAGGTCCTTTTTTTCCCCCCAGAGTGTCTTGGCTTTCCATGCCTGAAATACTCTCCTGGGCTCTTCAGCCAGATCCGAATGCTTAAAGGCTGATTCTGAGGCCAGAGACCTGTTTAGGACATCGGCCATTCTATGAGTCTGTTGTTGTACTCTCTCCTTTTTAAAAATCTGTCCTTGGGGCCAGTGCTGTGGCATAGCGGGTGAAGCTGTAGCCTGCAGTGCCAGAATCCCATATGGGCGCCTGTTCGAGTCCCTGCTGCTCCACATCAGATCCAGCTCTCTGCTATGGCCTGGGAAAGCAGTAGAAAATGGCCCAAGTCCTTTTGCCCTGGCACCCACATAGGAAACCCGGAAGAAGCTCCTGGCTCCAGGCTTCAGATCAGTGCAGCTCTGGCTGTTGCGGCCAATTGGGAACTGACCAGTGGATGGAAGACTTTTCTCCCTCTCCCCCTCAGCCCTCTTCCCCCCATCTCCCTCCTCCACCCCTCTCTCTCCTCTCTGTGTAACTCTTTCAAATAAATAAATAAATCATAAAAAAAAAAAAAAAACAAAACTGTCAGCCGGCGCTGTGGATCACTAGGCTAATCCTCCAGCTGCGGCGTCGGCACCCTAGGTTCTAGTCCCGGTGGGGGCGCCAGATTCTGTCCCGGTTGCTCCTCTTCCAGGCCAGCTCTCTGCTGTGGCCCGGGAGGGCAGTGGAGGATGGCCCAAGTCCTTGGGCCCTGCACCTGCATGGGAGACCAGGAGGAAGCACCTGGCTCCTGGCTTTGGATCAGCGCGGTGTGCCGGCCGCAGCGGCCATTGGGGGGTGAACCAACGGCAAAGGAAGACTTTTCTCTCTGTCTCTCTCTCTGTCCATTCTGCCTGTCAACAAAAAAAAAAAAAAAAAAAAAAAACG